CGGAAGTATTTCAGTGGCAGGCCATGATAAGAGCTGTTCGAATTCTCTAAAAGCTGAGGAAAGGTGCCTCAATGCTTCCTTTCATATCTCCTTTAGCATAGGGCACACCGGACCATCCTTTACGAAAGGAAAGGATAAAATGCCATCCCACAGTCCTTGCGGCGGCAACATTTAAAGCGGCGCACGTTCTCAAACTCAAACGATAAAATCCATCAACCACATTTAGCAAGATCCTTGCAATACAGACGCACATTATGATACTTTAATAAGACTCACAATTACCTTCTTTCTTTTGGTTTGTTTTCTTTTGGCTTTTTTGTAATCTAATACTGTTTCAACACCGTTTTATGTTTCGGGTTGTTCAAATTAAGCCATTAAGTGTTTTCTACAATTAAAAATAAATAAATCGCCAACCATAACTGATAAAGGAGGTTGATCACCATGTAATTTACCATTGGCTATTAAGCCTTTTCAATCTTATGCCATAACTTGCTAATATGCATATAGGCCTATCTTAAACTGTCAGCAGTAACTGAGACCCTTGCGAGCTGTTACTGGTCTTGTAACATGATCAAAGTGAGGATAATGTTATGAACTGCAGGCTTCAGCAAATTAATTTTACTTCAGTCACAGATGCTGACACCCTCATCTTAATAAAGGCAAAGATCACGCTGGATAACCTCTACAGTAGGCGTTTCCCACACACTGATTTATTTGTGGTGGCCTGCCACATTATCAACGCTGATTTTTGATTGATATTGTTACTATTTAAAATGGGTAAAATTGTATTTGATGACAGAGCGCTGCACAGTGCATATATTCTCTCAGCATCTCGTCTCGTCCCGTCGCTCGGATTCTCTTAGACCTGCGGTCTTCTTTCCTTGACCTCATGACGTTTTCCATCGAGGTCAAGGAAAGTGGGTTAGGAAAGCCTAAATATCTGCAGTTATGACGCTGACTTAGGTCTTTGTTTGTCTGTTTTTGAAGGTTACACTCTAATTAATTTCATAATTTTTGTGAGGAATGATACAAGGTACAAGTACATAAATGTTTACACCCTGAACTTTTTGCAGTGCATTTTTTGATTTTGCATCTAAGTAGAATGTAAACAACAAGATGAAAAATGGTTTCATCTTCACATTAAAAAGTCTTGACTGTGTTTTAGCACCAAGCATCACTGATGTCCACCTCTTCTCATTTTGCTGGAGTCTTGCACTAACAGCTCGGAACATGGACCACCTGCTGAGTGCTTGATCAGGGTGGTTGATGGGGCAGGTCTCTGTAAAGATGTGGGCACACAGTCTCTGATTTCGGTAGCTTGGCCAACATGAGTCTCATTTTTACCTTTAGGAGCAGAATTAAGCCCAAGCTGGGCCAGCATGGCTTCTATCCCTGCTCACTTTACTCTCCACCAAGCAATCACTACATCCGCCATGGTACCTGGTCCGGTTGATGTGGCTGAAAAGTAATGTCAGAAACATGGACGGTCATGGACGGCCAAGGCTTTTTGATGCATGTGGGGAGTGATAGGTGGCCTGTGTGGTCCGATCCAACAGACGAGCTGTTGTAGGTCAAATAATAGAAAAGGCTGATGCAGGTTCTGATAGAAAGGAGTCAGAACACACAATGCATAGTCAGGGACGTTTTGGCAGCCAAAGGGAGATGTTACGACCAGCAGGTGGTCATAATGTTATGGCCGATCGGTGTATAACGCCAACACTGTGCTCAGGGTCTACTTTATGGTATCCTCCCAGTTGGACTAGAATGCCTCCAGAAAGAGGCGTCCAGGAGGCGTCCTTATCAGATCCTGAACCACCACAACTGACTCCATTGAACGTGAAGGGGCACCAGTTCTACTCTGACCTACCTTTCTAATAAAAAGTAGTTAGTTAGTTTCACATGCTGGTTTTATCCCGTATAGGTTATAGTGGAAGACAACATCTGGGACACCTCATAATGTCTCGATAAAGAGAGGAGCAGGTCAGAATTGCGTTGCCTTTTCTTGCATAGGTTGAAAACTTAAAGTATTTGATTGACCAATAAGAGCACAAATGTAAATGTGGATAAAGAGAATGGATATTGTTGGTGCTGTCAGCTTCAACTGTGAAGTCGGCCCCTGGCCCCTTTTTGATCACCTCTGTAAGTCATGAAAGATGGTGAGCCATGATTGGTTGAGGAACAACATGTAGTCTGCCATGTCTCTTGGCCAATTCACAGCAAGAATTTATGACTATAATCACTTAATCTGGCAAAGTGACCAGATTAAGTGATTACACTGTTGTGTAGTGTGAACCCAGGATAGGGGTGAGCCCTGCAAAGGAAACTCATTTTAGCCTCAAGCACCCGAGTACCTTCTGGACACTTTGGAGCCGTGATTCTCAAACTTTTTCACATCAAGGACCCCTAGACTGAAACCAATTAGACCACGGACCCACGTTTAATGGAACTTTGTCACAGAGTTTTTCTTTTAGATGTTTTATCACAGAATGTGTATGAAATTCAATACTTTAGCCAGGTCACTTTACTGCAGGACTGGTGTCAGGCTACTAAACTGGAAATGAATGTGACCAAAACAAAATAATTTAAAATACAAACAAAACCAAGAGGGGCCAGTAACCCCTGTTGTACTTCAAAACCATCCTGTGGAAGTAGTGGGACATTTCAAGTGCTTGGGTACAATCATTGACTACACTTTAAGTTTAAATAAAAACTATTTGTAAGAGAGCCAACAAGCAAGCAAGCAAGGAGCTTTAGGGTCAGTCAACACATACTTGAGATGGGATATAGGGGCCTGGTAGAAAGCATTTTACAGTTTAATAATATAACCGCTTGGCATGGCAACTTAAAGGTGAAAGACAAATAGGCTACAATCTTTCCAGAACTGATGATATTGTGCGGAAGGTGACGGGACACTTAACCCACGAGATCAAGATGGTGATTTTTTTATTTATGTAAAGAAAAACACAAAATTCAGGTGGCAATTCAAACACTACAGCCTATAACTATAACAGAATATAATGCAGTGCAGCTCTCAGTCATTCTGTGCTGCTTTCAGATCTGTTTCCCCTGAAGATGAACTTTTCTAATGTAATATCGTCCCTGCTGTGTCATGATTTAGTCTTCCTTCCTCTTTGTGTCTTTGTTTGGGGAAGTAACCTCTTTAAATGTACATGTGGCACCTTTTCATCTCAATAATAAATTATTAATTTTAAGTCTATAATAAACTCCTGGACTTTAATAGCTCCTGCCAGCAGGTTTTCTGCTCACGCTCAAAACGTTCTGCACATTCAGAATCTCTCCCACAAATCTGTATAACAATACATATAACGAGAACGTCATCATTTGACGAGAAGTCTGCATGCCCTTTACTCTGTGGTGCATCACGTTAGTAATCCGCTGGCAGTGACGGACGCAGTTTAGGACTGGATGTTGCATGTGAAACCGAAAGTAACTGAAACACTTCTGATCAGGCAGAAATCTCACCACAAATCCACACACACGTTAACTAGCTCTGATAAAGTGCAGCTCACAGTCCCAAACGAGAACAAGGCTGTGCTTCAGTTTTTAGATGTTTATGTTGCAAAACTCTACCAGTTAGTTTACCACTCATCACAGCTGTCTGACGAGTGGTGCATTTGAGAACTATCAGGGCATACACCGGTGTGACATCAGCTGGGTACAGTTTATTAGCGCCGCCTCACAGACGCCTCACACGCACTAAACTCAGAGTTTGAGCTGCTCCCATCTGGCGAGCCGGAACATCTATAGGAGATCTTTTATTCAGTGTGCCACACAGGCACTGAATGCAAAATGCAAACTGCATTGCACTGCAAATGCACTTTAAAAACATGTTTTCCACCTGCTGCTGCTTTCTATTTTCCGTTCATGGCGCAATTGTTGTTGTATGTTTAATGGTGATACTGTGTTGTATTTTTAATGTGTGTAATAATTGTGGTGTCATTGTTCTATTTCTGTTTTGCTGAAGTCAGAGACACATTTTCACTAAGGAGGACAATAAAGTCTGATAATAATAATAATGACCGAAATAGCCAACCTTCTGTCATTGTGGCTGCTTATGGATGGAATAATAGTGAAAATAAATGATTCCACATTTAACTGGGGACCACCTTGAACTGCCTCAAGGACCAGTTAACTTTGAGAACCACTGCTTTAGAGATAGGGTTGGCAAGAACCATTGAGGACAAGGAGAAGATTATAGCATCTTCGTCAAGTGGCCTTTACAGCCACGCAGATTAATTTGAGCCTAAGGAATACCAAGGAAACTAGTTTCCGTCGTTTGTATCCACAGTCTTGTTCTTTTGGTCACTGCCTAAAGCTGCTGACCAAAGGTGAGGATTGAAAAGTAGAGATTATTTCCCCGTCTGAATGTATGATATATTTGAAATGTCTAAATATATGGGGTGCAAAACATGAAATACTAAGTCAATTTATCTTCCAAGGCTGCATTTGTTTATTTGTGTTCGTAAAAAAAAAAGGTCAGTGGGATTTTGAATGAGGTTTTTCTTACTTCTGGACCAGAACCTGGACGTTCTGGTTTTACTTCGGTGCTCTGTAATGTCGGGTGTAATGGTCTCGCATGTTTTATTTTAATGTGGACCCCCCAGGGAGAGGAGTTACTTCCAAATAAACAGCAAACATCATATAGTTTTTGAATCATTACTATCAGTGCGTGTGGTTTTCAGTATTGTAGATTTTTCTCTCTCTCTGTCAGGTCGACCTGTCAGTGAAGCCCCTCCCACCTCCTCCTCCTCTGATGTTACAACTGTAAGGTGTGTGTGTGTGTGTGTGTGTACGTGAGAGAGAGAGCTTATTTAAAGAGCTGGTTCTCTCTCACTGGGCGATCGACACCAGCTCAGCATCATCAGCTTACCGCCTGCTGCTTCCAGGGAATAAACTCTGAACACTTTTCCTGAGAGACGTCTGCTGAAGAACCAGTCAGTAAGATGAGACGAGTTTACTGCTTGATTTACTGACAGACGAAATTACTGTTTTTTGTGACTGACTGGAGGGACTCACTGACTAAAATATGATTGTTGACTTACTGACTAGTTTCTTTCATATTAATTTACTGGCAGTTTGTTTCACTTGCTTACTGACTGGCTGGTTCACTAACTGGCAGATTGTTTGTCCAGAAATGTGTTAACTGCTTTACATATTGCTTACTGACTGACTGGTTTACCAGCAAGTGAAGAACTTCGTAGGTTGAAGTGTGATTGCTTCACAGACTGGCTGAATTATTTCCTAACTGTAGTGAAAGCTGTTTGACTGCTTTAAAAACTATTTACTGATTGACTTTGTCTCTTTTTTTTTTGACTTTCAATAGTGAGTAACTGTTTATGGCTGTGAGTTCTTTGTTGATATAACCAGTCAACTCATTTTTAACTGCTTACTGCCTGGTTTGGTGACTGGTTGACCCATTGGTTGAGCGGTTTACTGCCTTGGTGACTGATTTTGTACAGTTTATTCTCATTATCATTATCTAATTTACTAACTGTCTGATTGGCTTACTGACTGACCAATAAGTGACAGACTGGTTTGAATTTTGTTTGCTGTTAAATGTGTCTGTAACTGGTGTACTGACATGTTTACCAGTAGATTGGTAACTTTAAATTACAGTTTATGGCTGACTCCTTAACTGTTGACTTCACCTGTTGTTACTAGTTGACTGACTTTGTGTTTACTGCCTAATTTATCCACTTCTTGAGTGGTGTGCTGACTGGTTTACTGAGCTACTTGTTGATTTAACACTACTCCACTCGTTCTTTACTATTTGTCTGACTTTGTTTAACTGCTTACTGACTGGTTTACCTGTTACATGAGAGGTTTGCTGACTGGGTAACTGGTTTACTGCCTTGTTGTAGTGATTGATTTGTGATGGATGCACTAGTTGACTGACTGGTGAACTGACCATTTACATATTGTTTACTGACTGACGTTGTCTGGTAAAGGCTGAGTTACCTAGTATTAACCAGTATTAACTAGTTGCCTGACCTCGTTTAAATGTTTACTGGCTGGTTATGAACATATTTAACGTTGTTTTCCACAGTAATCTGAGGTCAGTCTGTGTTTCAGGTGCAGGAATGTCTCAGCTGTCTGTCCTTGTGCCACTCACAGGTACGCTGCTCTACTCAGTCCTGTTCTGTTGTATTATCACTCTGTGTTTCATGGTCGGCGTCCTTCTGATTTAACTTGTGTGTTTGACGACAGGTTAATGATGCCTCTCTCTCCCGCCCTCTCTCTCTGCAGGCCTTTTTGTCCTGATCTCCTCAACGTTTGGCTCAGAATCCAGTGGTCAGTCCTGAATGTTACCTGTTTGTCTGTGTGTCTGTTTAACCACCACTCACCTAAAGACTAACTGACGGGTGAAACTAACCAAACCTAACAGGTTAAACTGGCTAATAAAACATGGAGGATGATTTAAATACAGACTCCCTTTGTTCCTTTAGGGATATTTTCCCCTCCAGAACCGTGTGTGTTCTGAGAAATTTCTCTGAATCGATCAAAAGCAGCAGGTCACAAAGGAAATGAGTGTGTTTGTGCTTCTTCTTCTGTCTTTGTGAGAACCAATTTGACTTTTACACTGTTGCACATTTTTGCAAAAGAAGATTTATTTTGTCCAGTCCTCACTTCTTCAAAAGGGTGTTTGAGGATTAGCCTGAGAGTAAGATTACAGTTCGGGCTGTTGTGATGGTTAATTTAAGATGTTAATCAAAACCTGAAGGCTTCATCCTCTGAGGAGAGAGAAATAAATCAGGACACTTAACAATGATTTGACCTGTAATAATGAGAAGTATCTCTGTCTCTCACCCTTAAATGTGACTTTGTGTGTGCATTACTACCTCTTCTTCTTCTTCTTCTTCGTCTTCACTTTGATGAATTGGGGTTTTCGGAAACAGGCAGGCAGCGGTAACCTTAAACCTCCCTGAATGACTTGTTGTTGATCCTCAGAACTTTTTTCCCCTCCCGTGTTTATATTGAGCCCGAATCATAAAAACGTCTGAAATTTAAACTAACCACTTGTCTGTTCTCTCAAATAGAGGAAGCAGATGAAAAGCTCCTTTTATCCCGTGTCTTCTCCTTTCAAAGAGCGGATCTGTTATTCTGACTGTATTTCAATGAATTACTGACTCTCTCATGAATAGTATTATGTAACTGTAAACCTTTTTTATCCTCAGTCGTAAATCGAGTTGATTTCTCCCAGTTTTTGAATCATTTTTATCCTTTTTAAAATGTGTATTACTCTAACTATCAATATATCACAAGTTAACGTTGCTAAAAGCAGCTTATTATTACAGTAAAACATTTTCTTTTATTCTTATTTTGCTGGCTGCACACTAGAGCAGTGGTTCTCGACCTTTTTGTTCTAAGGTACACAGCCCTGTCAATTGAACTCTCCTACCCCTTCATCGATCACACCTATCATGTATCAAATATATAACACTAATTATTACATAAAAGTGGATATTGTTTGTTTTTCTCATAAATTTAAGTGTCAGTGTTAACTGCAACTAATGATTATTTTCATCGTTGATCATTTTGTCGATCAACTGATTAGTTGTTTGGTCTGTAAAATGTCAGAAAATGGTGAAAAATATCGATCCATGTTTTCCAAAGACCACTATGACGTCCTCAGAAGTCATGTTTTGTCCACAGCCCAAAGATTTTTGGGAGTTTACTGTCATAGAGTAGTAAAGAAACCACGCCATATTCACATTTAAGAAGCTGAAACCAGAGAATTGTGACTTTTTCTGTTTTGAAAAAACCCCTACTCCAATTAGAAACCCGGAAAAGCCAATGAGAGCGAGCTGACCAGAAATTGTATTTGCTCGCTCGATAAAATTTATAAACCAGGTTGGTTCCCTCTTTTCAGCCTCGAGGTCATCCGCTGTTCTCACAGCACACACAAGTGCAACCAGCTGACAGCAGTTTACATTTACTCATTTGGCAGACACTTTCATCCAAAGCGACTTACATTTGAGGAACAACATACAAGCATCAACAAAGCAACAATACAGCAAGAGTAATGCAAGTTACAATAGATAAGAGCCAATAGCACCTATGGCATCAATGGGGTACATACCGAGGGAAAGAAGTAAGAGTTAACGAAATAGTTTGATCAACACAAGAGAACTGTAAGGCGATAGAAGAAGTAATTTAGTTTTTGTGAGATCCCAAGTTCCCAGAAACGGTCACTCTGAAATCGTTTAGTATAATCGGCATGATTGTGGTCCTGCGTCTGAATCATCTGGTGTGTGCGCTCTTAAGATATAAATAAAAATATAAAAAATTGGTTTATTCTGTTCTTATTCTGCAGGGGTGGATTTTAACTTTTTGTTTTATGTTTTGGAAAGGTAATAAATCGTACTTCTCCTTTCAACCTCTCTGGGTAGCAACTGTAATTATTAAAAATGCCAAATGGAAAAATGGAAAAATACAGCCAAAAAAGCTAGAAAACAACTCTTTTTGCATTAGCCAATGGAGCGCAGCCACGAAAGTGTCGGACCTCAGTTAGAGCGAAGCCTACACTGCGCTGTGATTGGCCGGCTGCGTATCTGGGCGTGGCTTAGCAAAGGGTCAATTCCAAATTATAGCTGCATGATGACAAGACATAAAACTATATTCATATTCTTTAATTATAATAAAAAATATCCTGCTCAGAACTGCCGCTTCATTACATCATCGTGTTATTTTGACTTAATCTCAGATGTTTAGCAGAGTTTGCGGTGTTGCCAAAGTATTTCACTCTCTTTGCGCACACAGCCGTAGCGCAAGCATGACTTTGACAGGCGGAAGGAGAAGTAGTTCCTATCAACAGAGTACAATTAGACCATCCTGGTGACAGTAAGATACATATGATAAAACACACACTCACTCCAAATTACAAAGTTTAGATATCGATCCTTTTTATAAGAGTATATAAGAGAGCAGGAAACATCAGAAATATCAATACTTTAGTATCGATCCGCACATCACTAATTTAGGGTAGCCTACCAACATTTAGCCGCTAAATCCAGCCGCCTTTGGCGCTTGGCGGGTGTTAATTTCCACCTCTGCGTCTGTGGTATCCCACATTTTTTAAATAAGTTAAGATTTGTAAATATTTTAGTGTAGATCAGGCATTGGATGTTCATTCACTCTTTCATTACGCCACTCAGTTGTTTACAGTGAGCAGTCAATTAAAATTTCATTCATTTAATAACCCGCAGCATTTTTTGCATCACTGATAGATGTCATTTCACAAAACTAATCGTTGCATCTATCTAAAGCAGTTTTCTAGCAAAATACTTTATGCATGTTAAAGATGCTGTTCTTTGTTCTTTGAGTTCAGCACATGTATTTTTATTATGTAGTAAATAGGTTGTGATTTCAGACACAGCCTTGCTAGCAGCTCAGCGAGGCTGTACTCGGGCACAGCGGTACTAGGAGCTAAATGCTAACAGGCTGATGTTCATGTTGACATTTTATGGGATGGATGGTAGCGATGGGAAATATTCCCATGTTTAAGCTTTACAAGCATTCACTTCACAGAATTACTACAAGCAGATGTTTGGTTGGCCAAGTTTGTTCTAAAAATACTGTGAATTGATCTTCAGAACGTTTTGGTGTAATTTATAAAAATAAAAAATACAGAGACTTTAGTCTATGCGACTCATCAATGTTTGTTTTTTTGTGAGTACTTTTGTTTGTGCCAAGTCTGAGATAATTCAGTTTCCTTTCATGATTACAAATTCGATGATGATTAGATGATTTCAACACCAGTCAGAAACTTTAAATTTTGATAACTTCAGTGTCACTTGAACGCAGCATTATCAGGAATTGCATTAGCAGAATTTAGTTCAGTCCCAAAAGGTTTTATATTTTTATTAGGTTTCGGGTACACCATATTGTTTATATTGTTTTATATTATTTTTCACCGCGTAGTGTTGTATATTATTGCACTGTATTGGTGTGTAATTAGATAGGAGACTTTGTTGTCCACACAGAAACATACAAATATACGTGAAATTAATATTATTTTTATCACGTGCTTTATATATTATGTTTTGGTTAAATTGTATATATTGTTACTTATAACTATACTTATATTATGTATGTTATATACACGTGTTTGTACTTCAGTATGATGCATTCAACATAAAAGTAATGAAAAATCAAAAAGAACCTAATCTCATAGAAGACAAAATTTATGTTTCTGACTTTTACTACATTTTTATTCATAATTACTGTTAATGTTGATGTCATTCATTGATCAGTGCCGGTACCGGTGACCTGTGTGACGCGCGGAGCCGACCTGGTGGAGGACGGTGTGGTGGTTTTGTGTCCTCCGGACTGCACCCAATGGAGGGTGTCTGTGTTCGGGACGGGAATCTACGCCTCCGTCTCCTCCGTCTGTGGAGCTGCTGTCCACAGGTAGGAATTTTACACCTGCTTTCTGTCTTTCTTTCCGAACCGACTGTCCCTGAAAATCACACCAAAGCAGATCTTTGTGCTGAATGGTTGAAGTCAGATTAGGTTAAGATGAAAGTTATGGAGGTTTGGAGCAGGTCTGGTTGGAGTCTGGAGTTTTTCTGGTGTACATTTAACGACACGTGGCTCAAACAATCTGTCCTGCTACCGACGGCAGCTGCGGGTGTGATGTAATAATGAACAGCATGAGTCCTGCTCTCTACTGAACCCCAGCAAAACACCAACACCACGAAGGAATGTGCAGGAATGAAGGATTAAGCTCTCAACCCTGAATGACCTCCTTCCTCTGCAGAGGGCCGCGGGGCCCCGAGAGGAAAAAAACTCGACTCTGCTCCTTCAGATCCTTCCTTCAGTCATTCACTACTTTATATCTTATAAATCTATCTTTATATCTTCTCCAGCCTCTTTTGTCTGATGTCTGACTCACTTTTAAACCACAATGAATAACACTTCCTGTTCTAAGATGTTTCTTATGCAAAGCTCCAGTGTCAGCGTGGAGACAACATGATCTCAGCCTTCAGTTTAAATGTGACTGTGATCAGATTTCGAGCAAACAAACTGAGCTAAACTTCATTCATTCATTTCATGAAGAGTGATTTGTGGATTTGTCTTGATACTCATTACTCTTAAGGATTATTCAGTTAATTACAACTTGGGTCTCATTTTGAAAAATTTTTCCATGTTTTGTTGTTCTCAACATACAAAATGAAAATCCACTGCAGAATTTCTGGGTGTATATGTGTAAATGTATATAAGTAATGGTATAGGTATATCTTTCCCTATTCTAATATAAATGTTATGTTATTTGGGACTACAAACTATAATTTTGTTTAATAATGATAATGATAAATTACCTTGATCCTTGATTCAGAGGTATGGAATCACGCTAAAGTGGATTTAGCTTAAAAAATAATGCACCAAACTATGAAAAAAAGACCCAAGTTGTGACAAACCAGAACAATACTGCACTTTTTTTTGTCTCTGGTCTGAAGGGGGGTGCTGGGTCCGTCCGGCGGCCCCGTCAGGGTTCACAAGCTGCAGGGACGACAAAACTACATGAGCTCCTATGCCCACGGCATCCAATCACAGGACCTGTCACGCTGGACCGCCTCATTCAGCCTCACTAGTAGGTGGAGTCATTTTACTCATTGATCGATAGGGCTGGGAATTGATTAGTTTTATTGTGCAAGGAAGTTTTGGACTAAGTTTTATTTTGGAATCTGGAAAACTGTGATGCTTTCCAATATTCCCACATTTAATAGATTAAACAATGACTCGATAAATAACAGAAGTCAAGAGATTAATCATCATTTAAAATACTCATCAGTTGCAGGAATGAACTCAGAAATAAACATACTGGACTGAAGGACACTACAAATTGTTCCTTTTAAAGAAAAACCGCAAGGTCCAAGTTACTTTTTGTCCAAGTTGGCTTAAAAACATTGAAACATCATTCTTTATTTAGGAACCAGCAGTTTGACCAACAAATCGCAACTCAGTCTACTTATTCACTTGTTTTGTAGCTTCCAAACTTTCGATGGAGTTAAGTCCTGAAGGTGATCAGAAAAGTTTGAACAGCCCTGACACATAAGGTTTTATGTGTCAGGGCTGTTTCTACTTGTTGAGTTCTACTGCCCCCTAGAGGACAAAAGCCACTTAAAGGATAATTTTGGTATTTTTAACAAAACTGGCTGCAGTGGCTGCAACTTTATTCCTTTGGGGAACTTTTGCCCGTCAAACTGACGTCCACAAAAAGTTTGTTGTGTTGGAGTAACGTTAGGAAATAAAGTCTAGCTAGCAGCTCCTCTACATACACAACAAACTCTCCTCCCTTGTTTCCACCGGCGTCTTCCTGCAACAACTTTCCTCTCACGAGATTTCAGAGCGAGAACTGTACTTGAGCGAGACTTCAGTTTCTTGTTAAAAACTAAGGGTGTCCCTAAGAGTCCCTCATAGGGATCCTTTCCATGATGTTGTCAGACACCTGGTGTAACAGTCTGAGCCTGTCGGTGGCAAAAAGAAGCACTTTTCGTGGGCGTAATTTTGACGGGAGCAATTGCCCCAAGGGAATACATTGCAGCCACTACTTTCCAAAGGGTTTTGTACCTACGACTCATTTCAAAACCAACATATGTGACAATAGGGCCCAGGTTTAAAAATACCAGAATTATCCTTTAAAGCAGCCATAAATTTCCTCTCATCACTTGGTAATCTTTGTAATACCACTCTATAATTTATAATTTGTAACTGTCGAGTAATATACAAAGATATTAATATTACTAATATTTAACATTCAACCCAGTATCCTTTGTCCAAAGGTTAAATGAAACAGGAAACTGCTTTACTGAAATGAAGGAAATATAAAGAGACGGTGTTAAATCGAGAATTAAATCTAATCTAAAAGCAGGCAGCTTAATGATCAGTGAGGAATCTGTGTGTCTGTCAGATTGTTTTGAGCTCTTCTGCCTCCTAGTGGGCAGGTACAGTCATTACAGATTTAAATAATGCTGACCTTGTCTTGAGACTTCATCACTTATTGGCGTGTCTGTGTGATCAGAGCCTTTAAGTGTCCCACTGGAGTTGACCAGTGACACCAGTACCACAGATCTGCCTGCAGCTGCACAACCAGGTAAATTATACACGTTATTATATTTACTACTACTGATATGCTAAACTCAAATAATACATAAATACCTCACATTCTTAAATTATTGTCTGGGGCTTTATTCAGTGATTTATATTAGAGACAAGTGATTTCTCCTGTTTTTTTATGTTTGATCATACATTGAACAAAATTATAAATGCAACACTTTTGTTTTTGCCCCCATTCATCATGAGCTGAACTCAAAGATCTAAGACTTTCTCTATTTACACAATAGGCCTATTTCTCTCAAATATTGTTCACAAATCCGTCAAAATCTGTGTTAGTGAGCACTTTGCAGAGATAAACCTTCCACCTCCCAGGTGTGGCATATCAAGATGATCATACAACATGGGTATTGCACAGGTGTGCCTTAGGTGTGCCTTAGGCTGGCCACAAAAAAAGGCCACTCCAAAATGTGCAGTTTTACTGGGTTCAGAAACCAGTCAACAGAGTCCTGTGATCAGAGTCAGAACTCAGAATCAGAAATACTTTATTAATCTTGAGGGGAAATTGTTGTATTTGTTAATCAAGGCATTGAAGAGATAGAAATAATAATATAAAGTTGGCAAGTAAAAAACTGTAAAAACAATAATCTAAAAATATAAATAGGATTGTAGAAATATGTACAGTATTCTACATTATGTGATGGAAAATGCTTTCCCTGGTTTCTTATTTGCTGATTTACTAAAGTCACATCTATTGTTTTTGCCATTTTTCTAGCATGGTAATGTTGCTGTTAATGATACTCGACACTTCCTGCAAAGGTGTTTCACATTAAAAGCTACCAAAACAAGCTCAAAAGGCACTTTCTGACGGGCTTTTATTTTGAAACACCTGCAGGTATTTTTTTATTTGTTGATGGTGTTTAAGAGCGATTTAAAAAAAAAACAATAAACAACAGCAACTATAAATAATTAATGTTGTGGAAACAGTATACTGAATTTACCATGTGAGCAGTTACAGTGCAGGTACATCTTGAGATCTGTTCATGCCGGCTATTATTGAGACTCGTTATTTAAATACCAACTTTGTTTTGAGAATCTGCAGCTGGACATTGAGGTGAATTAACAGACTTTTCCTGCTGCTGTCGGGGTGTTTTTGTTCTCCCGAAGCTTCCAGACACAACAGGAATGTGATGTTTTCACCAGACAGACTGTGCTACCCCAGCTGACCTGTGTGTTTGTGTTGCAGCAAAGAAACCACTGAAGAAGCTGTCAGTGAAGAAAGCTCTGACAGGTGGAAATAAAGGTTGGTATGTTTGTTCTTGTGGAGGTTTTTCTGTTTTTTGTGTTGAAATTAAATCAGGATAGATTAGAATCAGGAACTAAGATTTCCAAATGTGTCTTTAGTAGGCCTAAGTAATACTTCAGGATCACTCAGTTTCATTTCCAGACACTTTCTAAAATCAGGATTCATCTCTTTGATAATTCTGTAACAACGAAGTGAAGCTGAGGGGAAACTAGTGCGTCCTGTGTTCATTTGTGTGTGCGTGCAGACTGTCAGATGGACATCGCAATGGTGATCGACAGCAGTAACAACATCGGGCAGCGGCGGTTCAACCTGCAGAAGAACTTTGTCACCAAGCTGGCGGCCATGTTGAGAGTCGGATCAACAGGACCGCATGTAGGGCTGATCCAGGCCAGGTCAGACACACACACACACACATACAGGGCGCCTGGGCAATGCTGTGTGAATACTGAACAAATTCAGGTTTAAAATAAATAATAAAGAGCAAATAAAAAATACCAGCAATACAGAGACTTTTCTAGGAAAATGGCTCTAGTAGGTAAATCAGGTATGAAGTTTATTCTAAGCAATAAGCCTTTCTTATAGAAATATGCTTTCCTTGTCGGATTAAACTAAAAGAAGTCCTCTTCAGTCAAGAAATACAGTTGAAGGTCCTTTAGTAAAATACGTCGACATTCCTGTACAATAAAGTACAAAATGGTAAAGTACTGAAAGTATTTTAGGTAGCACTAAGGTACAAAGACTACTTTTACACGAGTATTTCCATTTTATGCTACTTTCTACCACTACCCCTTCAAGGCAAATATTGCACTTGTTACTTTACTACATTTGTCTGACAGCTTTAGTTACCTTTCAGATACAGTTTTCATTCCCTTCCTGTGCAGTGAAAACAACGTATCTCCTGCTGTGATGAAATGAGAAAATCCTCTTCTTTCTTAAACTAAATAAACTATTTAAACCCACTTGGATCAGCTGGAAAATGCATCATCACAAAGCTGAAAACAGGGCTGTTTGTTTGAGCCCATGAAAAGTTGACATTTTAGAGATGCGTGATTCTCACAGGGCAGCAAAGCTACAAACTTATGATGATCTCATAGAATATGATGCATTGCTATAGATTAACCTACCCAACAGGATATAAAGGAGTTAAAATGCAACACCCACATTAATGCAACAGTAATATTGATCCAGAAACATCAGATATAATAGTGAAACACAGACAGGAGACATTTTACTGTGATACTTTAATACATCTTGATGTTATTACTGTTTATGAATAGAGGACTTTTGCTTGCAGTGGAGTATTTTCACAGTGTGGTATAAGTACTTTTACTGAAGCAAATGATTTAATACTTCTTCCACCACTGCTGCTGAATGTGTATAAGGACTGATCTCAAATTGGAGCCTTGAAGCCTTTAAGTGAGGCCACATTTTCAACTTGTTTTTCGTGTGTGCGCACACAGTGACACTCCCAGGACAGAGTTCTTTCTGACCAACTACACTCAGCCTAAAGAGCTGCTGTTTGCCATCAAGGAGCTGGCCTACCTGGGAGGAAACACCAACACAGGTAATACAGACACACACAAATGCATGTTTGTACTTTATACACTCGGTCACATTGCTGAGCCCATAACCTTAACCTAGAGTGGAATGATTTAGAAAAAAAAAGTCTAATTGCAATTTTCTTGACTGATATTGCAATTGCGACATGATTGGCGTACATAATTATTCTCATTTTCATTGATTCATTCATGTTAAACCCAAAAGCAGATGGAAAAGCAAATCATCATCATACACAATTTCCAGGTCTGACATTTGTCATCAACGAGGACACATATAATCCTGCTTTGATCATATTTTCATCCTGTTCAATTAAAATCTGAGGTGCTGCCCACTTTCAGGTATGATGAGATGTTACTTGAATGATGTAGAAACTTAATTTAACATAATATATGTAGAAATATATGTATGCATTTCGTCAATATAGAAAAAGATTCCTACAGAGATTTCTAGGATGTCAAAGTCAAAATCACACATTTAGATTTATATCTCGAGCATTTCAGAAAAGGCAAGCATCCACATCCGTTATATAACCACACCTAATAATTTTAACCAAGATTACACAACTACATCTCCCATGAGGCTTTGGCAGCTCCTCTGTTGCTAAAATAATGTCAGAAGTACATTAAAATATCTAACTGGTTTCTTTTGTTATTGTTGGCCTCGTGCAGGTAAGGCCATCATGCACGTGGCGGAGACCTTCTTCACCCAGGAGAACGGGGGGAGGCGGGGTCACCCCCGGGTGATGGTGGTGCTGATTGACGGCTGGCCGTCTGACGACCTGGAGCAGGCGGCCATGTTGGCCAGAGAGTCTGGCATCAATGTCTTCCTGGTGTCTGTGGCCAAACCGGCACCTGAGGAGCTCACCATGGTGCGAGACAAGGATTTTGTGAAGAAGGTGCACACTTTTATTTATAATTTCAATTTATAAAATGAACTTCAGCTAAATGTTTTTTGGAGATACAACATGTCCATAACAACAGGCCGTGTTCTCCTCTTCCTGCAGGCGGTGTGTAAAGATAACGGATTCTTCAGTTATTTGATCCCCAGCTGGTTCAGCACCACCAAACATGTTAAACCTCTCACGCAGAGACTCTGCTCGCTGGATGGCCTGCTCTGCAGTAAGACACAACTTCACTTCAATCTGTCTCTTTATTAGTCCAGAGACGGCAAAACATGGATCGCAACAAAAATAAAGGAAGACTTCAAAATTTGCTTTCTTGGCATTAGAAGAGATCAGTACAATTCCCATGTCTGTTCCCTTGGTATGAATCTGCAGACAGTTAGCTTAGCTTAGCTTAGCATTAAGACTAGAAACAGGTGCACAAAGGTACCAAAATCTAAAGATCACTAATTAACAATAATAATGTTTTATATTGTTTCTTTAATCTGTACACAAATTGTGAAGTTGAGGTTATACAGAGAGTTTTGTTGCGTATTATTTAGGATAATTAGGATTTTGGGTCCGAGCCAAGGCTGGTCAGGACAGATTATCTGCCCACATATCCTGTATTTTGAGGGGTTTACAGACATAATCCTAAAGTCGCGGACTGGATCAGAGGCTCTCAGATTTTAAATTGTAAATATAGATATTTGCACGCAGTGGTAATGTGAGGATAAAGTACAGGTCATGAGATATCATGTGCCAGATGCACAGACCTGAAGCTGTACTAAAAAAATGCATTGAGTTGAGTAACACTTTGTAGGATTACGAATGAAAATTGAATTGTACTTAGTAACAAAAACACCTGTGTAACTTTGAAAAATCACTTTCATCACTTCATAAATGTTATAGTCCAAAGTCCTGCTAGAGGCTGCGGCGTTCATTACAGCTGTGATAGGAACAAATATCTTCCCAGTAGTGGAGCTAAAAATAGTCAAGCATTCGAGAAAGTTTAGTTTTTTCTTGTGTTCAAGTGAAATGTTATCTCAGAAAATGTGCATGTGTACAATAAATGTGTTTTTTTTTAAGGTAAAACCTGCTACAACTCTGTGAACATCGGCTTCCTCATCGACGGCTCATCCAGCGTCGGAGATGGAAACTTCCAGCTGGTCCTGGACTTCGTGGCTGGAATCGCCAGAAGTTTCGACGTCTCAGACGTGGGCTCTCGCATCGGTCAGCTTCACAGGATGAAAATGATTTCATTAATAGATGAACTGATTAATTGGCGAGCTGATTGGTTGACCGTGTGTTGGATGTCCAGGTGCGGTGCAGTTCACCTATGATCAGCAGCTGGAGTTCGGCCTGTTTGACCACTCTAACAAAGACGATGCCGTCAAAGCTCTGAAGAGGATCCCCTACATGAGCGGAGGAACGGCCACTGGAGCAGCCATCACTTACACCACCCAGAACCTGTTCAGGTAACACCACACCTGAGTGTTGCAGTCTGTTTCTACAAGAAAACACCCAACCAGCTTTTTAATGATTAAAGGCTGGTGATTTCTGTATTCTAAAATTTATCCCACAAACACCATCCTGCTGCCCGAAATGCTCACTAGAGTACCAAATGTGGATTCATCCGCTGCTGAAAATAGACCCTCTTTGCTAAAAGCTAAAGCGAGCAGCTGTTTAAGAAAATAACTGAGCCTTTCTATTTGAAAACGAAACTATATATTTGTGAGGTGTATTTAAAGTCCTCCGTAGGAGCCACAGACAGGAAGTCCAACAGTATTGAGAGACGGACTGATACATGGCTGTGTCCAGTGTTTTACCCAAATCAGCAATTTGTGACCAGTTATTGAAATAGTAATTTTCCTTCCACTGATTGATCTGAACTAGATGATTTAGGAAGGGCGGCACGGTGGTGTAGTGGTTAGCGCTGTCGCCCCACAGCAAGAAGGTACTGGGTTCAAACCTTGGTCGTCCCAGGTCAAGAGTTTGCGGGTTCTCTCCGGGTGCTCCGGCTTCTCCCGCTGTCCAAAGACATGCAGGATGGATATACCTTAGGATGTAAAATGATTTAGTAATATAACAAAAAGTCACTCATCATCAATAAGAGGTGGCAGAAACAACCACTCACATTCACACCTAAGGGCAGTTTATGGGTTTGTCTCAGCCAGATTCATTGTGTCTGGAGGAGGAAAATGGTTTTAAATTAAAGATTTGTTTTTTCTCCACCAGGCGAACAGGACCAGGTCGCAACTTTCTCATCGTGGTGACAGACGGCCAATCATATGACGACGTCAGAGGCCCGGCGCTGGCTGCACAGAAACAAGGTGTGTTAGAATAAAATTTTAAAAACAGCGGGTTGTGTACACTGATTCCTGAAATCTTCAGCTCCTCCCCTTTCTCCCATCCACCAATCACTAGGCATCACCATGTATTCGGTGGGCGTAGCCTGGGCGCCCCTGGATGACCTCAAAGCGATGTCATCAGAGGCAAAGGACAGCCACACCTTCTTCACCAGAGAGTTCACCGGCCTAGCGGAGTTCATCCCTGCGCTGGTCCGAGGCATCTGTCGAGACTTCACAGAGAACAACTAAGAAAACACACACACGTGTACTTCTATACTTGTGACGACAACATTAACCCAAACTTTCAACAGCCTGAAGATGTGACTGACTAAATATTCACTTTAGAAAATGTCCTCACTTTGAAGGTAGAGACGTTTCTTCTTCCTGTAACAGCCATTTGAAGAAAAGTAAACCAAACAAAATATCCCTGCCAGCACAAAGATGGAAGTACAGTAGCACACACACACACAAACACACACTGTATATATATATATTCTGTTCACATATACCAACCAATACTGATACATACACATGAACACATGTATATAAAAGACACAACATCATCAGTCATACACATATATACACCAAATAAATGTTTTTCTATTAAATGAAGGAGATGTTGGAAAATCACCAAACCACCAATTCATTTTTCACTAAACAATCCACTGACAGTATGTTTGGTTCTGTAATCAGATTTTTTACATAAAGAATAATCTAGTAATCCTAAAGTACAACACAAAAACTAGCATTGTGAACAACTACTGTCATATTAGCAAGCAAAATTGGTATTGTGAATTTTAACCCAGCTAACTTTAAAAGGAACCGTAATCAGATGCTCGCTGTGTACTGCAGGGTTCAATCAAAGCAGAGGAAGCTAATTTCTATAAAATAGATGCTAACTATGAAATAAACCAATAATAAACTACAGATTAAAGAAAAAAAAAAAGGTATTCTTGTAATTACAACTTCTGTGTCTCATTATTACAAAATATACATATTGCAAGAGTTTTATTGTATCAGATCCATATCTCATAATTAAAACTAGCTAAAATGTGTATCAGATCTCATCACTATGAGATTTTCTTATTATCTTTTAATTGAGGTCTGAAGAAAAACGAATAATTAGAAATTATTAGATAAAGATTTTGTATTACAAGATACTAAGTTATAACCAAGAAAACATTAACTTTTTTAAGTTAATGTTACATTCTTCTGTATTTATTCCAGAGTAATCTGAATTTACGCTTCATCTCTGAAAATTACTCAACTAAACAAAAAACCCTGAATTCTTGAATCTAAGAATTCATTCTTATGATCCAGGTGACTTTCAAACATTTCATAGGTCGGTCCACACAGGATGTTAAACCAAGCAGCTCTCATGACTTATGTGACTGTTGATCAAAGATGGGAAAACTTTTCTGTGATAAAATATTCTACACTCAAGGTGATTTAAAGGGTTAAAAAGGTTAAAAACACCAAAGTCACAGAAACAAACCTAACCAATAGAGGCAACGGGAGACCAGCAACTCCGTGTTCTGCCAGGTAAAATTACTGTTTTTGTCAAAGAAGTCTGGTGGCTTTGACGAGAGTGACTATTTCTGGTTAAACAAAAAAGATATTACTCTTTAAAATAAATAAATAAAGGTCCATCTCTGTAGGGATCCTTTGCGCAATGTTGCCAGACACTTGTAATAACAATCTGAGCACTTTAGTGGATGCAATTGCCCACAATGATTGTGTTGCAACCCCAAAATTCCAAAAAATGTCCATGTTAGTCATATAGACACAAACACATGGAAAAATAGGGTGCAAATTGAAAAATACCGAATTTAGCACAGAGCACTTTGGTCACATGATTACAGGTGGCCGTACTGTAGCCTATAAGCAGGGAGATGAATATCTGTAGGATGCTGGTAAAAGCTTTCAGACACCTTGAGTTTAGAATATAATAACAGAAAGCTTAAAGTACTTGTTATCAACAAGACAAGAAAATTCTGCAAAACAAAATAAACACTGACATTAGTTAAATCTTGACTTTCTGTTTGTATTTCAGATTTCTATCATAAATTACAGGATCAAATGACATGCTAACAGAAATATATTCCAAGATGTTCTAAGTTTTAAGCTCCATCCTTGTTTATGTTGTGATTAGCAGTTTACAACATTGTACATGTATTACAACAATGTATTAATGTCCAAAATCAAAGTTAAACTGCATTAAATCCTCATTTAAATTAGATATGGTTTGACAAAAGAATCTGGTGAAGTTCAATTACAGAAAGAACCAAGGTTTCCAAGGAGAAGCTAAATCAACGTGAACAATTTAATTTAAATGAGCTGCTTGGAATTAATGCAGTTGTAACTTGATGTTGGATAGAGATGTGTGGATATACTTCACATGTTGCCTGTTTAACAACATTGCATTCTTTGACATTCAAACATCGTTAAAATATCAACCATTGTTGGGGGGGCCTTGGTGGCCTAATTCATTACAGCACATACCAGTTCGATTTGTTCTGTTTGTTGAGGGTCCTCCTGTCTCTCCACACTGCGTCTGTCAGACAAAGACAAAATTACCCCCCCCCCCTCCAGGACACATGTGAGATTACACAGATTCTAGTCTTTAAATGTGTTTTCGTTAAATTACCATGTTTTTATTAGTTTCAAGTCTCTGGCAGGTTCCGTTTGTAAAAAAGGAACGGAAACCAATGTCTGTCTGGAATCTTAAAAACTGATGGATGATTTGAAAAAAATGAACAGTGGTGATGAACAGAATGCTGGATCTAAAATTATCTGTATGCCTCTTTGCCTTTGGGAAACCTGGTTCTGTTTTTATTTTATTTTTTGGTCTCCTCCTATTAGATTGGGATGATTCTGTTCCTTTTTTTTTTGTATTTATTACCTGTTTTCCTTGTCTTTCAATAAAGAATAGTTATTTTTACAGCATGCCCACTGTCTTGTGTTCATGGTAACAGAAGCTGCTGAAAGCATCAGAAAGACATGTAGCGACATCTGGTGTCCAAACTGCAGATTACAGGAAACAAACAGCATCAGACCACAAAACTCAATCTACTTATGTGAAGCAATGGATAACTGGCTTGTTTAATTATACATACAAATGCAAGCATGAATGCACGTTGGCATGTCACCATTTGCTATTACTGCACTGTAAAAAGTGTACAGTTACAGTAATCCCTTCTATACTAGCTGCTGAAACACTACAAAGATTGGTACATAGGCTAAACTTTATGTGTAAAGTATGGAGGTGGGACAGACCTAAAAGGATTCACCAGAATTGTATTCCTGTAAATGTTGGGAAATAAAAACAGTAGCGCTTCCTTTTAAAGATAATTCATTTCCAAATACTTTTCTACAAAGTGTACTGAAAATATTTATGTAATCTGGTGCCAATTACAGGAAAATACAGATCTGACAGTGTGAATTTGTTAAAGGTTTAGTTTATAAGCAGTAGCTGAACATTTTAATTGAGTCACTTCACTGTTAGTTATATTTGTACTAGTAGGCTACATCTTTGTTATGTTTGGTGTGAAAGGTTGCCTAATTCCAGTGATATCAAAATATATTATTATGGCTAAATCTGTAATATAGGCTAAATTATTTACATACACAGACTGCAACCTAACCAGTGGGGGTCGGTTCCTTTACTTAAGAGGAGCATTACCTTTATAATAAAAAGTATACTGAATTACAGCTAAAGCTCTGCAGTCTAAATGTTAGTTAATACAACACTGTTATCAGAAAAATCTACTTTCTATACTATAAAAGCAAAAGAAGGCTTTTCATGATTCAGAAAAATCTTAAATTATATTGTTGGATTATTATCACTGACGCATGATTGTGCAAGCAAGCAAAGTTTACAGACGTATGTTATAATCTTAAAATGCTTAATGTGTCCATTAATCAAAGGTGGAGGTTTCACCAACAAAGTTTTCTTCTCATGGGACACTTTGGGAAGTTCGGGTTTTAAACTGAGTCAGGGGAGAGTTGTTGAAAGGTGGGAAAACTTTTCTGTGATAAAATATTCTAAACTCAATGCGACTTAAAGGGTAAATTCGGTCATTTGCAAGCTGGACTGCAATTCATAATTTATTTATATCGTAAATTTTATGCATATATTCACAACTAACTAACTTGTTTGATGAATGTAGTTGAGTAAAAAGTATAAAATTTCCCTCTGAAAGCCACTGTGCAGAAGTAGAATAAAAAATATAATAATTACTTTTATATAACTGTTTATTGACTGATACTTAGCAGAAGGGAGTTACAAACTCAGTTTCACTTCAAAACCTGTTGTAATGTGACAAAATAAACACCTACATTGAAAGTAGCACAGGAAGTATTCAAATACAAGTAGTAAAAGTACCATTGAAAGTGTGTAACTTAATAATTTTGGCCCTTATGGTTGTCCACAGGCTCTATTTTTGTTAAAATAAAAAACAACAACAACAACAACAAAGTGTTGTCACGTGACCTCTAGTCGACCAACATGGCGTCTCTGGAGACGCTGTTGCCATGAAGACGGAACCCAAACAGACGAGCAGCACGCAGCTTCACAAAACACGGGACACATTATATATTATTATTATTATATTATTTCGCTCACAGGTAAGTTAGAAACATTCACACAGTCACGCCGGAGTAACTTTAAATGTCTAATGTTTAAAGGTGTAACATACCAACTGTTAGTTAATGATTTCAATAAGGGCGAGATCACTTTAGTATCACTTAGGCCTACTTTATTTTTTTTCTTCTCTCCATTAAATTTATACGACAGCTTTAGTTATTATGTCACTTTGCAGATTCATATTATTCAGCACATCGACGAATAAATCCTGGTGTTTTATCACTGATTAACAGAAGTATATTAAATAAACAGAATCCACCTTAAGCAGCTGCAGCATTAAAGTGATGAACACATGAATGCATCGATAGCTCTAATTATAATCCTACTGTGTTACTGAGCTTAATACCTTGACTTTTGCTAATACTTGTACACTTTTTGTACTTCAGCAAAATGTTAAATGCAGGACTTTTACTTGATAACTTGCAAATAGCTTTTAAACTATACTCTGAAAGTGATTAATGCTTCCACCACTGTTCCAAACCCCCACAAGTCTAAGGCAGTTAGCACATTTCTCATCATTTTATGTACTAATTATCATTTAATCAGAAAAACACGAGTTAGTAGAAAGGGAGCTTCAGCATCCCTTTGCTTTATACTCTTCTTTAACTTGTAGTAATCTTCCAGCTTCATGAAACTGACTTTAAAATCACTATTTAAACACTGTTATAATGTCCTGAATTCAGTCATCAAGTCGTCCTAAATTGAATTAGTTTAGATCGTAATTGCAACATAATTATTTTATTTCTCTTCATTTTTTCCCCATTGTTTAACTGGGAGGAATTGCTTATTTTAGGAATGATAATACTAACATTATTTCATTAGGTTACTAAAGTTCTGTCCTAATCCTGTATTACTACATGTGTGTTTTTGTAGCTATATGTAGATTCCTTGTTGTGTTATTTTCATCTGTGCCATTTGAATGAAGCACCTTTTCATTCAAATAAATCAACATAGCAGTACAGTTGCCCAGAACAACAATGTAGTGCTGAAAGTCAATCATCATACATTTTATAATCAGTCCTTTTAAAACAAAATGCCAAAAAAACAAAAATATATTCTAGTTTCAGCTTTTCCAATGTGAAGATTTGTTCTGTAAGCTTAGCATATTTGTGTCATTTGGAGAAATTGGAAATAATTGGTAATTTAAATAATCATTAGTTGCAGCCAGCCCTATAATTGTATTCATTAGAAGTAGTTTTATTTCACCAACATATTTTAGTTTAGTATTTATATCTCGTCTTGTTTGTGTATATCAGCACATGTATATCCATCTATCTATTTTCAGCAGGTATTTTGAGTCCAAAAGTACCAGATGTAATGTCTTCCACTATACCAAACCTGATTTATTGACCTTTACACTCACCTGCTTTGTTCTAGATAAACCCTACTTCCTTTAGACTGGCTTGCAGAGGGGACCCAAACCAAATGTGGTACTTGTGTATGGACCCCTGTAGAAAAAGAAAGTCATGTTTACACTTATTACAGCACAAAAATCAATTATAACACTCACGTTCAGCCCTCACCCCATCCTCACAACATTTTTGTATACTTTTGTATACATTTTTTGATCTCCTTACTTTCTATATATTTACATTTCTATTTATTTTCATGTGTACTATAAGCACCGATTTATACTAAGGCAAATTCCTCGTATGTGAAAAAATGGACCTTTTCAATAAAACCGATTCTGATTCCATTGTAGAGCTTTACTGTCAGATAATAAACAAAGCAGTGGCCAGCAGAGTGAGGAGGAGGAGGAGGGACCATGCCGAAGAAAGCAAAGAAAGGTGGAGGAGCTAAAGGTGGTGGTGCAAAGACGGAGGAGGAGAGACTGCTGTACCTTCAGCAGAGAGCTCAGGCTGAGGAGGAGATGGCCAAGAAGAAAGAAGAGATCCTCACACTCTTCCTCAAGGTAACAATAATCAATAATGGCTGGGCTAATCAAAAAATTGTAGACAAAGTCATTAAAATAAGTCAAGTTAGTGATGTTGATTGTTCATATTTACAAAATCCAAAAAGTACCCTTGAAATGTTTTAATTAAATGCTTTCCTGTTATGAATTACTACATATATATTTTAGTCCTGATGAACGTGTGGTGTGCAGAATAATATTCAGACTACAAAGCGTCTGTTATTCTTTATATGAATTTCATAACTGGTTCAACGATCCACTAGATTGTTCCAAGACTTCGAAAGATGTTTGATATTATGTTTAAAAAAAAATATGTACAGATATATTAACATGGATTTTATTTTAATAAATAAAATACTTTATTTTCAAACAAAAGTGGTGTGATTTAACACAAACAATGAAATGCTTTATAAAAAGACAAGTGTAACAATTGTTTACAGAGCTGAGCTGCAGAATCAATACAGTACATTAACAGAATTTTAGAAACAAATATTTTAAATATTCTGGCTCAGAAATGTTTTGAGTTATTATATAGATATTTGAATAGAAATTGCAAAAATCAATATCTGCATAATGCCAATATCATATATAGACAAACAGAGCTGAAAATTTGATACTGAAATTTATATTTGATACCTTTAGCATGTGCAACATGTTTGTGTATTTATCTTTATTTCAAACACTTCAATTGTTTAAATCTCTTATTTATCACCTGACTCACCTGCTTTCACTCATAACACACCAACTGACATTTCAGTGGCTCTTATCTTTAACTGACAGTTGCATTGATTTTATCTCTGCTCATTAAATGACATTTCAACTGTTTCACTTTCACATCAACTACAGATTCAGAACTGATCTCTTTTCAGTTAATAACCTTCAACTTACACTAAAATTCTTTAAGGAGCTTCAACAAGAAATACTTCAGATGAAATTTCAGATGTTTTCAGCAAAAAAAACTAATCTTCATAAAAAGTAGCCCTTTCAAATTAAAAGTTAGTTCTGTATATTCCCATAAATTCAATCCAAAAAGAAAAATTTATCAATATTTCATCCACTGAAGATTTCGATTATTTCCTCTCTCTGAATTCAGGACAAGCTGCAGAAGGAAGAGAGGAACACTGCAATGAACTTGCTGAAGCTGAACGACGGCTGGCGGTCGATTCTCCGTCAGACTCGAGCTGCTGAGCTGCGTAAAGACATCACGGTGCTCAGTCAGACGTTTGAGAAGCACCTGGACGGCCTGGACAGCGTCATCAAGGTGAACGACACTACACAGGATCCGACCTGCTCCACATCCCCGAGAGTTTACGTGTTGACTCTCAGCTTGTCACTTCCTGTTTCTCTGTGTTGCAGCATCTGGAGCGTGACCTGCAGGAGGCGGAGCGCCAGTCGGCTCAGGTGCGGCGTATTCACCTGCAGCATATGGAGCAGCTGTGGGCTCAGCAGGCCAAACATTTGACGTTTGTGCAGCAGCAGTGGGAGGCCGGCCTGCAGCACCTCAGCACCAGGTTCAGCTCTGAGAGGTCAGTCTGAGGAGCCACAGCGCCCCCCACACACTGCAGTGTTCAACACAGCTGTGACAGAAAGGTTCTTAAAAGGTGAACACAACCGATCAGCAGGTTTCCAGGTGTTGGGAGTTCAATTTCACGTTAAAACCAGCTCACCAGACTAGTGACGGCAGTGCGAAACTGAAGCTTCGATACGTGCTTTAAACCCCGAACACAGAACCACTGCTTCAAAGGTTGCTTCGTTGCATAAACTGTCACTTCGTTGCATAAACTGTCACGTGACGTGTCGGCAACTGCTGCTTTGGATGCAATATGTCACTGGCACTGCCTAAGTTGTCTTGAAATCTTTGAATGTTTGCGTTCCCCGTCCCACACAATCACCCCCTGCCATAGTTACACAGGCACACCTAACCTAGGCCATATTTTCCCAGCACTGTCACCTCAATAACACAATACATGCATTCACCAATATTTATTTGTAAATAGGACATGATGTCCAGTCTTAATGTGAAGAATTTTTAAAGATAATTTAAATCCAAAACGTGATCAAAGCAAAGATGCTTCAGGTTCTAAACTGTGTTGGGAAGTACTTTACTTTTCTACAAAAGTAAAGTACTTCCCAACACTGCTCATCGAGGTGTGTTAAAAGCCTCTTGTCCACCAGCTAGACTGCCTAATTTGCCTGCAGCCTTCCGCTTCACCGGAAGAGCTCACTGTGACTTAAGCTTCAAGTAATTAACCCATTTTCGAAAAAAACAATTGGCTCAAGTGGTTCCAGAAAAGCTGCTCATATCTGCTGCAGGCTACATTAGCCGTTGGTAGCATAACACATCGATCACAATCTACTTCACAACTTTCGGAGAAGCGTTGCATTGTGGGTAATGTAGGCGCCAAATTTTGACAAGGGGGGGTAAGAAGTACAATAAAGAAAGACGGAATCTATTTTGATGCTGTCCATCATGAGTCTTATGCATCATTTAATTTCTCTTTTTTACGCTACAAAGCAGCTGCTTATATCTTTAATAAGTTACCAATGTGCATACCATTAAAAAAGCTGGGTTACAATGATTGAGGTCTAACAATTCAGTTCAATCTTTATTGTTCCACCAGGGGAAATTTGATTTTCAATTGGGTAAAAAAAAACAAACAAAAAAAAAAAAACAAGAGCACTGTTACCATGTACATCATCAATTTGTTCGTCTGAAAGTACTCAGTCGAAATGGTAGCATCAACACACTGTAGGGTGCTTCTGAGCAGCAGAAAAGGAAAATTTGTATATGTGTTGGTTTTTAACCTGGGGAATCTGCATCTTCACACAGAGGGGAGAAGAACAAACTCCTCCAAAAGTGGGTGGTTAGCGCTGGCTATAATACTTGTCTATTATACAGTAGATGTCTACCAAAGAAAGCTATTGTGTGCAAATTATTTTTCTGGCTACTTTAACAATGTTAGACAGTGCACTGCAACAGTAAGACCAGTAGTCTAGCCACCTCGCAGATCTGATGTAATTGACAGTGAACATCTTACAAAGGGTGGACATTTGGAAAAGTCACGGTGTCACCAAATTCATTGGGGGTCCTGCTTTGCTGCATTATTCTCTCTGGCGTGAACGGGGTCTGTTTTTCAGGAAGCAGATATTGTTGCACTCTGAGCAGCAGCGAGCTGATCTGGAGGACGCAACGTTCACGGTGGAGCAGCAACACAAAACAGTGATGAGTGAAATCCACCGACTGTACCGTGAAAGCATCGCATCGTACGAGAGCGCTCATGAAGACAGGGTATCTCACAGAGCCAGATCCCTCTCTCCTTTTGAAGTCAGATATACAGGTGTCCTGATTTGAGTCTCTGAGGCTGGTCTCCTGTCTCCTCTGTGTGTGGACAGAAGGCTGCTCTGGACCTGGAGGACATGGACAAGCTGAAACAGAAGACCCTTCAGCACCAGGAAGCTGTGCAAATGTGCAGCAAGGAAACAAAGGCGCTCGACATCCTGCTCTCCAAGCACCAACAGTTCCTCCAGATGGCCGACGCAGACATGAAGAAGGCGAAGAGGCTGCAGGTCAGTGGAAGTTTATTTCATGGAGGCGATTTAATCTGATCATGTGATTTCATTTTGTTTTTAAAGCAAATTCCTCCTAAGAGCTCTTACTGCGACCACAAAATAATCCGATTCATAAAAGTGTTTTCAGATTGCAGGAATATTTCGGGCCATTCATGGAAATGTAAGTGTCCAAGATAAATGTCTGTAGAGGAAACAATTGTTGTAGCACCTGGGATTACTCACAGAGCGACAAATTTACGGCAGGTGCATTTTTGATAAGTCAAAAAACAGTCATACCTTTATCCACCAGTTTGGTGTCTGGTATCTGTTCAGCACGGCCCGCTAGTTTCTTTCCTTTTGCATCCAGAAAAAGAGAACAGCAGCAGTCTAGTGTATTTTACGACACAAGCTGTTCACTCATACTTGGTCAATGTTAACCATGAAAGTTTGTTCTTGACCTTGATGTACGCAGAAGTTCCAAAAAGCTAGAAAAGACAGATGTAATTCTTAAAGGTGACTTGTTATGCTTTTTCCTGTCATATTTATAATGTTACAAATGTTGCATGTTTACCAAAGTGGCCAAAGCTTCAAATAATGAGGTAAACGTATTTAAAAGAAATCTCAAACTTCAGATTTTCCCTTGTTGTGAACACTCTGGTTTCAACAGTTTTTTTCTACTACTCACGGCTCAGTTTGGTGTCATAGAGAGCTTAAGTCCCTCCCCTTCCTGTGGACCTTACTTTGGAAAGAGAATTTACAGTAGTCAATAGCAAAAGACTACAAATGTTTTGATCCCGTTTGAGTTGTGCCCTGAATTACACAAATGTCTATTTAAAATGTACATTTGAAAGTCAATTAAGTTGCAGTTTGATGTAACACTGTTGAGGTATAAGACTGAAAATACATAATTACCAAGTCCACAAACCCAAAAGTCACGTAACTTTTTCTCTCAATGACTGAAACGTTACTGAAGCTAACGTCAAAGAGCTTCCATGTGTAGATGATGTGATAAAAAGACAGAATCATGTCATCATCAGGTGAGATATTTCTGCTTGGAACAAGTTATCTAGCTAGTAGCAACCAAGCAATGAGCGTTAGCTAGCATTACCGCGCCAACATGTTGCCGACGGTTTTCACACCAAAGCTAAAATGTTACTTTATAGTTTTTATGAACAACAACTTTGACTTAATTTATATTAAAAATTGACCAACGTTATTTGTGTAATTCAGGGCACAATTCTAACAAGATAATTTGTCTCTTGCCGTTGACTATTGTACCCATTTTTCCCCGAAATAAAAGGTCCCATGGGGAATGGTCATATCTGTGATGTGTTAAGGGCCAGTGTAAGATTTTTGAACTTTGAATCACGCAAAGCTACTTTACAGGGCTGGTAATGCAGCATATTAGGTTACCTTTAAAGCGAGAACCAAGATCAATATTTCTTTCTCAATTATTACATGACACTGAACATAGTGGACATTCATCATCATTACAAACACGTCTCCTGATGGATGACCATGTTGCTGCATAACTGATAGATGTGGTAGCAGGCAGCTGGTTGCTAACACGTTAACTTTTTATAAGCTGATAATACAGTATGAGTGTTTACAGCTCGTTACGCTGCCCTCTAGTGGACAAACAAAAAAAACTTTATACCGTTTCAAAGAAACTGATTCCAGCTTTAAAAAAAAATAAAAAAATTGCGTTTCCAACGAATGCATCATGAAGCAGTTTTATAAAAGTTTGGAAATGGATTATAAATTAGACAAAGACAGACGAGTTTTCCGTCCAGTTTCAGATGCTCAGAGAGCTGATGTTCATGGAGCCGATAGCTGTCATGAAGGATTTCTGGGAAATCCTTAAAATCCCCGATCTTCCCCAGAGTCAGATGAGAAGTTAGAGAACAGAGACAAGTTGAGGAGGCGTAAAGCCTGGTGTAACGTAGCATCACAGGGTTAAGTTAAAGCCTCCATCTTGTTTCCTTTCTCTCTCTCTCTCAGGATATTGCCATTCAGCTGAGGGCGAAGATGAACTACAGTAAAATTGAAAACCAGTCGGTGGAACAAGATCTGAACGCTGCCAGAAATAAGGTAAACAGGAAGACTCATATGCTCCGGGACCAGCTGACTCAGGCTCATACAGCGGCCAGAAAACAGCTGACTGACCTCACCGTCCAGAGCGACAAGGCCGCCAAGAAACTGCAGGCAGTCATCTCCAAGGTGAAACGTCTCACATGCAGTCTGTCCACTGTGTATTTCCTCCTGTGTGTCCTCTCTGTACTCATTTTCACTGTGGTGATCCAGGGTGAGAAGGTTTTACGTGTCGCCGAAATGTGTCGCAAGCTGGAGAGCGAGGAGAAGCAAGTCTTATCATCAGTATTCCCTGCAGACGACGTCAGACAGGAGAGAGCAGGACCTGAGACAGAGGAACCAGCAAAGGTGGGTTGAGATTCAGAGCTCCAGTGTTACAGTTTGACCTCGGGCCGCTTCCCTCTGACTGACTGTTCCTGTATGTGGTAGTGACCAAACAAACCTTTTCTTCTAGGACTTTCTAGTTCAGCATCTAGCAGGTCTGGACTGGTACTTTGGACTGCTTTCAGGAACGAGACACAACCTTGCACTCTGAGCAAACAGCAGACAGACACAGTTAGAGACTAACTGGTGAACATAGTGGAGAATTTAGCAGCTAAAGATCCAGATATTTCCTGCGGCCAACATGTCCCGTACTGGCTGAGCTTGGATCTGTAAGCCAAAGAATAATTCTGCTGCAGGATTCGCCAGACTGGTTCATGTACCAGAGTCAGACTCAGTACCTGCTGGTCTGGATGTAGTTCCTGACGATTGTAGTTTGGAGAGACTCGCTGCTGCAGTGTGGTTGATAGTTCAACTTCTTTTAGGGTCTGTTAGTGTTGGTAATCCTTTAGCATTTTGATTTGTTATTTTTTTATTTTCTCCAGCCCTTTTCTTGATACAGCATATACGAGTCGGTAGATTTGTGTTTATTTACTCTCAAAAGAACACCCACATAGCATCCACACAAATATAACAAAAGTTATCAGCTTTTTGCAGCTACAGCTTCATATTCCAGGTTGATAATGAAGCATAAATTGCTTTTCTCTTCCATTTGAAAGTGACACACAAGCTGAACAGTAAACTTATTCCCCAAACTGTGGAGCACACTGACCTTTGTGTCCATCTGTAGGAGATACCCGAGTTGCAGCAGGTGACGTGGTGCATCAACGCTGCCGTGCTGCAGCGGGAAGCTCTGAAGAAACAGAAGGCCGATTTGAGCCGTGAAAACCAGCAGCTGAGGCTCCTGCTTCGTCAGCACCTGGACGCCATGACGGTCAGCGGCGACACCCTCGACGGACGACACAATCTGCTCACCGTGCACCAGGCCCCGGCTGCCGCGGCCCCACCGGACCCCACCAGACGCCACAATGTCATTGAAGCTGTTCACGTTGTCAAACACTCACTCTAGGACTGTTACTGCAGGAAACACTGAATTACAAACATTTTCCAAAAAAAAAAGCTGCACAGTTAAATAATACCCGGTACTTTTAATTTTGTTGGTGTTTTCTTTCGTGATATATCAAAATAAACACTGATTTCTTAGTATAATATTATAAATTCAAGGTTAATTACTTAACTTTTCCCAGCAGCTTTCATCAGCTGATGAGGCTTGCTCAGGTGTTCCTGATTGTCTTTTCGAGTGTGGGGAAATCCTGCAGCCAGAGTACTCACCTGGACAACATCACTTAAAATACAAAATTTCAAAATATGCTCACTGTTTACAAATCACTTAATGGTCTCGCCCTGACCTGCCTACAAACCCTTCAGAACTCTCAAATCGTCAGACACCGGTCTCCCAACTGAACCCAAGAAGTGATGATGATGATCAGATGTACAACACCTGTGCTGTATTTAAAAAGCAGACCTTCCCGTTGTCTCACGCATACGGCTACACTGTGTCTCCACCTGTCTTGTCTGTCTCTGGGTATGTGAGTGGGGGGGGGGGGGTAAATAATTATGATTTTACTTTGTTCATATTTGTTGTCGGTTAACTCACATTGTATGAAATGTACTATATAAATAAAGTTGATTTAACTAGAGGCTCAAATCCCAAAATATTGAAGCTGTTCTGAACGCATCACGGCTCTGGTTTCGGGAATTTCAGTTCCTTAAGTTTGGTACAAAAACACAGAGCCGCAACTATTGATTATTTTCATTATCGATTAATTTTTAAATGTGAAAATTGGGGAAAAATTTCCGTTACAACTTTTTAGAGCCCAACTTCTTTAAATGTCTGAATAACAGTCTAAAACCCAAAGATATTCAGTTTACTGTGATAAAAGAAATTGAAAATATGAGACTGAAGAAACTGGAATCAGACGTTTCCTTCACTTAAACAATTAATTATCGAAATAGTTGACAAATACGTTTCTGTCGACTGACATAATCAGTTAATCAGCTCCCAGTAAGCTCTGGTAGGAATGTTCAAAACATGAACTCAACTGCTGACAAGAATTTGAAATTATAAGGTCAGAAAAAAAACTTTAACTAACTTTAATAATCTCATGGATTTCATTTCTTCAACATTTGAGCAGCTCAGTGACTGAAATGTCCCAATAATGCGAGACAGTGATCCACAACCATGATATGTAGTCCTCCAGGTCCTGGATCTGGACCGACTATAGTTTACAACAGTTGTTTCCAACTTTTTGACCTCTGGCCCTCGTTAAAGGTTTCATGTAATATATAGTTTATTAATGACTGATAGTGTGCACTCAGATTGTTTAATGAGAATAATCCTAAGAGCCTTAAAGATGTAAAACTTTTGTCCGAAAATATATAACAGTTCTGTGTTATTGATTAATTCATCTCCCATTAATCATCTATGATTTATCTTGTGACCTTTTGGGGGCGTCCAGACCCACTGGTTATCCAGTCGCACCAAGATTTAATTTCTTTTGAACTTTAGAGCCCAAACCAGGACAAACAAAGCCAGAACAAGAGTGCCCAAATAGGGATGTCCACACACTTTAGGCCACATAGCGGGAAAATAGTGCTGTGATGTTATTTAAAATGTTTGACCTTTTTTTTTTGTTTTTTTTTAAATCTACAGAACACCTTAAACTGAAGTATTTACCTCAACTTTTATTTTGGTGGTGCATTTCCTGAGGCTTTTAATGCAGTCAGAAGATATTAATAAAACAGAATGATCAGCGGAGCAGCGGCCTCTGTACAGGTACACCATTTAATAGTTATTATAGACATTTTATATACAGTTGTATTCTGTTATGTGGTACAATCTTTAAAATCTGCTGTTTCATAGTTTGTAAATCAAAAAAAACAAAAAAAAAAAAACTTACAAAACTCGCAAACTGATCAGAACTTTTTTCCTCAATTTTTCCGGAAGACTAGAAAAAATACTTTTGTTGTATTAATCATGCATTACACAAACAAAAACAAAAAAAAGTCTTTAGTTACACAGTAAGTTGTAGCGCGGGTCAAAACCAAAATAAAAGATTCTGTTGTGATCAATCAGAAGCAACTTGAGTTACAAATCCCTTCAGTTAAAAAAATGTAATTAAACCAGAAACTGTGGAGAACAAACCACAACGATAAAGAAAAGCTCTGCCTGTCAGAGCAGGTAGGGATGTTTAGCCAATCAGATGGCAGCTTTGTCTTCAAAAACACGCCCCAGGAGGCCTCTGATTGGACCGTTTCTCCTGGGTGCTCAAACCGGTTCTTCTTCTTGTAAGGACGAGACTAAAAACCATTTAATGATATAAATAACTTCAGCTGTGATGAAGAAAATGTACTCAAAGTGAAAACTCACACAGTGATATGAAGACGAGGAGGAGGAGCAGCAGCTGAGAGGGGCGACACCTCCACCTGAACCGGTGGGGTTTCCAGGCTCCTCGATGAGCCTCAAACCTGCAGCTTCTCCATAAACAAGACCTTTACTGCAGCATCATCGGCCGTTTACACCGACACTGTGGTGCGTTCAGGTGCTGACACCAATCACCATCAGAGCACCAAGCACCATCCTCCTCCTCGGCCGAGTCTCAACACTCCTCAGCAGCTCCTCCCTCCCTCCTTTACTTTCTACATTTTGTGAAATCTTCCGACAGAGGCGTGGCTTGTCATGCGACAGGAAAAAAGGAAGTAGAAGGGCGGGGCCTCTGAGCGTCGTGATGGCAGGACTTGACGGGAATGAGGAACCAGAATCGTCCTCGGTGCCGTTAACTAGACGTTTCCACGTTTATAAAAACGATTATAAAAACTAGATTTATTTTACACAAACAGAAAACGTCCATATGCAACTACAGTAACGCTGACGTCTTAATCCTTCGCTCGTTACCTCGGTGGTTTGAAACGCAGGGCTCTGATTGGCCCACCAGGGGCTGAGGTGGGGGTGTATTAAGGGATGTCAGGACAGACGTCCAAATCAGCTCACACCTCGTCGAGAGACAGGAAACAGAATATCAGATTTTTAACCCGTCTCTAGAAACAAAATCCAGAGCGAATGTTCAGTTTACTTGACATATTTTAAAATCTTAAATTTCTTTGATTATTTTCCTTACTGGGGCTGTAAAAAAGATAAGACACGTCAACATCTCTTCCTGAAGCTTTGGTTCAGATTAAAACTTAAATACAACAAAACCACAGTGGGTTAAAACACCAAATGTTCTGTTCCTTTGTTATAAGCAGCTGGATTCTCTTCTTCTTCTTACTCTGCTGCAGCTGGAGGTCGAAGCTTTAAAGGAAAAATCCCCCTCAGATGTTCTTCTGTTGTTCAGTTCATAATGTGCCACATTCCACTGATTAAACCGTTTTCTTTTACTCTTAGGTGAACGTAGTTTCCCTTCAGGCTGTTGATTTCTACTATTATCTTGAAGTGTCTTTTGACAACCATCAGGAGACATGTCTGATGTTTTTTCATGTTTTGCAGCAGCGACGCACAGAAACACGAGACTTTCCACTTTCCAACAGACGCCAACACATCTTGCACCATTAAAAAGATACTTAAATCTTCAATAACGGAGGAGGAACTCGCAGCACTGCGTTTATTCACCACTGACAAGTGCGAACGCTCAGAAACAAAAGCACCAATTCTTCAGTTGAAGTAAAAGAGAAAAAGCAAAGAAGTTTTGAAATGAAAGCGGCCCTGCTGCTGCAATGCACCGTGGGTCTTTTCTCTGTTAGGGACCCCAAAATGTATGGCTGTGTAATTTCAAAAAATAAATCAATTAACTTCTACTGAATCACAGAGAAGTAACGCTGTATTCACGTTATACAGCTGTAATTAGGAGCAGCCGTTCAGATGAGATAAGAGGTCATCTCACGTAGTGTCAACAAACTGGCCAACAGCTGACACTCGTCGTGTTGAAGACGAGTGAAGAGTGTGAACCTGTGAGTGGACAAATATGTTCCTTTGTATTAACTGTTAACTTCACGTCTGCTTCTGTCCGAGCAGCCAGTTAGACTTTACGTGGGGACTCAAACTTGCCGTGAATTTGATGGCATCGTTAAGCCTTCAGGGTTAACGTGCTGACCATGAAAGTCCGTCCCTCGTTTCCAATCACCTCTTTCCCGTCATTGCTATCAAATAAAGACAATAAAAATAAAAAAACAAACTGGAAAGGTAGCCATCAGCGTCAACGCATTCACAGCAAAGAACGAACAAAGCTCTCTGAAAGCTGTCTCTGCTGTCAAACCACAAACTGAAGCTGCAGGAAACGTCGCCACCACAGAAGAAGGTAAAAAACTGCTGAACGTAGAAACAAGAACATGACTGATTTTGGCGGGATTTTTCCTTTATGTCTGCGGGCTCAGACTAGTGTTATCACGAGGCGAAGGAGGTGTGTGTGTGTGTGTGTGTGTGTGTGTGTGTGTGTGTGTGGGGGGGATTCATGTAGTGTCATCAGAGCAGCGTTCAGGACTCTGCAGACGGAGGCAACATCACATGACAGGTGAGCTGCTCAGTGTCGACCTGCAGGGTTTAGACAACGTTTGCACAACGTTTGTGTTTCTGCTGCTGAACGTCTCTTAGTTTCCTCAGTCAGTTGGCGGGAAACAAACCTCCGCCTCCTACCCTAAACAGTGTGTGTGTGTGTGTGTGTGTGTGTGTGTGTTCAGTTGTCTGATGGAGATCCCGTCACCTCCAGTCTCTCATTAATTTATATTCTGTGTTCAGTGACCTGAACAGACCTGAATACTGTCTGTGTGAACAGAGTAGCCCGTCTCTCTCTCTCTCTCGCTGTCTGTCTCTCGCCCCACAGTCCTCTGCTTCTTCTACACGTAGACCCTGGCGAGGGCGTCGGCTCCGGCGGAGGCGATGTAGGCCTTAGAGGGGTGGAAGGCCACATCGTAGATGGCCTCCTCGCTCTTCTTCCGGTGAGCTGTGATCTCCTGGACGCATGTTTTACTGTCGAGGTTCCATAGACGCAGAGAGCAGTCGTGACCTGAGGAGGAAGAAGACAAGGAATCATCAAGAGGAAGGACGTAGGAAGCGGTAGAAGACGAGATCAAGAGGATGAAGAGGAGGTGAGAAATCACCGATCTTGAGTTCAATCTTGAAACATTTAATCAAACAAACTACTTTAAGAGACTCACTTCCAGACATCAGGTAGATCCCGTTAGGATCCACAGCCAGGCTGGTCACTGCATCCAGGTGAGCCACCATGGCATGGATCACTTTACCTGCACCCAGACAGATGAGAGGTCAGACAGGTAGATGAGACAGACAGGTAAACACTAGTGCTCAATGAATAATCTTTTAATATCAAAGTTATAATTTGAAATCGTTCCAATTCATAACCGTTTTTATTACATTATTTGAAATGTCTTCACAAGCTGTTAAACGTTTTGTTTGCAATTGTATTTGCTCCAAATTTAAAAGGTGTTTGTTGCTGGAAGGTTTTGAAACTAGAGATTAACATCAGGAACTGAGATCCTGGTTTTTTCCCAGGAATGGGCATAAATCTGCTCATTACCCAGACAGCACCTGTGAAATCCCAGTATCTTCATAGATCATTAATGCTTCTACTGAACTGTCGTGGCTAAATTACAACCTTAAAATTGTTGTTTTTATGAGAATATCAGTGCGTCTCAAGTTCTCAAAAAGGCCCAATAAGACGACGAGTACCACTTTACAAGTTATGTGAGCTATTTCGACGCAGCACGTCTAAATGTCAGATGTCCGGTATTAACATCACAGTTTGTGATTTTAAATCTTACCGATAACGTTCACTTGGTGTGAGTTTAGCAGAACATCAAAGATGATGTTTTTATGTTGAATTTTTTCTTTTAGAGAGTTCATTAAAAGCTACAACGTGTACGAGATGAGACTCTCCAACCTGCTGTTCATACTCCAAAAATAAGAGGCAGCATTATCATTCCTCAGGTCATAACTGCTGCTAATTGCCTTTAGCTAGTTAGCTCACCCCCGAGACCAGCAGAGGTAAAGTGTGTAAGGTGGTGAACTTGCCCCTCGCAAGTCATTGGTGACATCTAAAAAGGGAGTAGCAGCCCTACCACATAAACACATGTAAATTAATATAATAATAATAAAAGTAGAATTCCTGGGAAGAACGTAACATTTTCTTGTGATAGTAATTAATTCTAAACCTAAGAAAAAAACAGCATCTTCTCAGAACATGTGGTCCAGGGAAATCAAAACTTCCAGCTTTCTCGTGTCTAAAGATAGGATAAAGGCAGAGAGATCGACTAACCTGACTTGTTATCGTAGAATTTGATGTGTCGGTCTTCGTGAGCGGTGATAGTGACCGGCAGCGTGGGATGACTGACCACCTTATTGATGTGATTCGATCCTGGGAGGGCTGAGGAGGGAGGGGGGTTATTTTCATCTACAACCACATTATTAGATAATTCTGTCGAATCTGTGTGTGTCTCTTACTGCCTTCTCCCTGCCCTTTCAGCACAAGTGTATTCTGGGAAGTCTCCAGGTCGTACACCACCACATCTCCGCTGTTAAAGGAGGCCACCATGTGGGCGGGGTCACAACCGTTGAAGTCCACCGACGTGGGGACACCGTGCTCTACAAAACACACAGAGAGGTATAAATAAGGTTTGACCTGTTGCTGAGCTCTCCTCTGGGGGGCGCTCTCCCTCCTCTCTCCTCACCCTTGTTTGTGTTGAAAGTGCTGATGCAGGGGTTTTTCTCCGTCGGGTTCCACAGTTTCACCGTTCCATCGGCCGAGCAGGACAGGAGGCGGTTTTTGATGCCGCTGTAAGCCAATCCCCACACGGCGTCCGTATGCCCCAACCATGACCCTGCCAGGACGCTGGGATCTGATAGGGCAAGAGGAAGGGGGGGGGGGGGCTATTATTGTGCTCTATTGTTTGCTGTTTGCTTTTATACTTCTGTCTTTTTTCAGAATGCAAAGTGTAGACTTGGAGAGGGAAGAGGCTTTTAAAAAGTAAGGATATGTTTAAAAAGTGAAGCACATTTTTTAAAGAGCAAGAATATTTAGCAAAATGAGGACACGTTTCAACAGTGAGGATTTTTTTAAGGCCTGCACCAAGGTCCGGACCAAAGTTCATGTTTTGAAATATTCGGTTAGTTTTGGTTTGGTTTCACATTGCAATCGCACTAAAGAACTTTACATGACATGCTTGCGTCATCATCTATGTGCACTGCGTCTCTTCATACTTGACATTGCTTGGTTTGTAAACAGACGTGCGTCTGACGTGAGTTTGTTGTCATTTCCACAGGTAGCTTTGACAAGATTAAATGAATGAGGAATGAACAGATGCATATCTATATTGTTATTATGACATTACTACCTGCAGCACCAACTATTCTTGAGGCTAGTTCAAATTCACGTCATAAAGGAGAGAAGACAGCAAGCAGTCCCTTTGAGCCCTCGCACCTCCGTTTGGGGAGATTTTCAGAGATGTCACGGGCAATTTACAATTTGTCCTTATTTCAATGCATTCCTCCGTGCATTTGTTTGTTTCCGGGTTTATACAGGAACCACTGGTAAAAGTGTGAAAAATACTAGAAATGAACCGAACAAATGGTTCAGTTTGATCCAGACTGAGACTACCTCTTTTTGTCAGACCAAATTTCGCCTGTTTGGTCCAGGGAGGGGTTTCACACACATGTCATTTTGGTTCGGAACATTCTGAAAGTCCGGACCAAACGAATGTTTTTGTCTGTTCCTTCTTCTTTCAAGGTTGTTTTAAAGCAGGGGTGTCAAACTCATTTTCATCAAGGGCCACATAAGCATTACGGTTAACCTCAAGGGGGCCAGTTGCAACTGTAAGACTGTATAAACGTAACTACTCCTGCCAGATGACTAGCATGCCAAATATTTGGAGAAGTCGGCCGACTCGACATCCACATTCAGCCAATGAGAGCTACTTTTTCACCACAAAACGCATTTTACTCACCTCCTGCTCTCTCTGTGGCTCAGATGATCCCTGCTACCTGCGTGTGCTAATCCATTCTTTCACCCATATTCTTTGTCTTTATAATTGCTATCTTTATAATAACAAACAACAGCTGTTTTGTCTGTATGTACGCGTCATTTCCAGTTTCACATTTCACGTGTGTTTTCTTGACAAATGTGGTTTGGAGAACTGCATCGGGTGATAGAGTCATTGTCGGTTCGTGTAGTGTGTGATCCCCTGTCACCGATCAGTCACGTAGTGTGAACGCCACCACAACGTCACAAGACGGCAAGTTGTGTAGTGTGAATGGCCTTAACTGAGCCTTAACTAACGTTGATCCTTCATCACTGATAAAAGACATAGCCCTAGCCTACCGGTTTTTCTCCTTGAAGCACAAACATGTATTCACTTTCCCACCATTCATGAAACTGCTTTCCTTCTGCATCAATTCTCGTCTTGGACATTTAGGGATTGTTTGTATACATTTCTCATCTTCACTTGTTGGAAAACTGGTAGTAGTGGGTATGGAAACATCGCAATCTAGTGGCGGGATGTCGTCACTTCTTGGGTCACAAAAGATGTCGTTTATGGCAGCATAGACTTTCATTTTAGGACAATCATGAATCTTTAAAGCTTTTGCGGGCCACATAAAGTGACGTGGCGGGCCGGATACGGGCCTTGAGTTTGACACGTGTTTTAAAGAGTTCAGACTTGGTTTTATGGTTACAGTTATTATTCCACTGAGGGTACGAACAAGAACAGAACTACAAACGAGTGTGTGTACCGTAGGTATCGTAGGGGTCGACATTAGAGCTGGGGATGTTCCACCATTGGATGGTCGAGTCGATGCCTCCACTGAAACACTGTTCACCGCTGGACGTCATCGTCAACGACAACACTGGACCACTGGGGGGGGGGGGGGGGGGGGGGGGGGGGGTTACAAGAGCACTTTGAGACAGCACCAACATCTACAGGCCTTTAATCACCCTGAATGAATACTAACGAACTTACTATTAAATTACATTAGCTGTGTGTGTGTGTGTGTGTGTGTGTGTGTGTGTGTGTGTGTGTGTGTGTGTAAATACGTACACATGGGCTCTGAATGTGTAGACGGGTTCCACATCAAAAGAGGCACTTCTGGAAAAGAAAAATACAGAACAAAACATCCAGTTATTGAACACATCATCATGAAGCATCTTTCTTCATCACTGAAGCGGTTGCTACCCCTCAGTAGCTGACGTTTGAAAAGCTCAAAAGACTGTTTGTCCTGAAAGCGGAGCTCTGTTATGATGTACCGTACGGCAGTAAATCCTGAGGGGAGTTTTTGCAGGGATTATGTGTAGGACACAGACGCGTCTGTATTTGAAGTTCGGCTGAATAGTGTCAGAAATGCTGCGTTGAGGGGGAAATGAGATGCAAATGCTAAAGGATCTGTCAGGTCTGGGAAGACGGGATTTTCCTCTGAAGCGGAGAGAATCCACAAACAAGAGTTAGACCAAGTGAAGGAAATACTCTTTATGACAAACAGTATATGCAGCCTTAAGTATAGACTGATAAACTACTTAGTAATGCCTATATTCTGCTGTTCTTATGCACAAAACTAAGCACCAAGTCATGTACACCGAATTAAGACCCATTTTTACTGAACAATACAGGGAGGAGGCATCGCCACAGACCTTTACTGGTGAATTATCTAACTGGTGGATTCTGGCTGTCCTGTGGGCAAAGGGGGGTCCTAATCACTACCCACTGAGGGACACAGTTTGCTGAATACTTTTTGGTGGGTACAGTCTTGTTGAGGTTTGTTCTCTCTATAGTAACAAATTTAAAGCTTAGATGAAAGTAGATGATGGGATGGTGTGTGCATGGGTTGTGCAAGTGTATATTTTGGTGAAGTTCAACAATTTTCTGGCAATATCAATCAAAGCCCACTTATAAATGTGCTGTTTGTAATGATGTTTACTCTGCACTAAAAGGCATAAGCAAACTTGCTGACTAAGGCCCCATCTACACTACTCTGTTTTAGTTTAAAAAACGGAGAATTAAAAGAAATACGACCTCCGTCCACACCAGTGTTTTAGCTGTGTGTCAGAGGTGATTGCCGTCTACATTAAAACAGCTGAAAACGCACATCTAGTGGCCGTTCAGGTACACTGGGCACGCATGTGCCGGTGTAAACATGAAGCAGACGGTTTCTTCAGTATTTACAGAAGATTTGGTTTAAGTAAACGGCGACATGCACAGTACAAGTGTAGAGAGATAAGTGTTATTTGTGACAGTACAAAATATTTTTAATAAAAATACCAAGTCAAAGACTCGTATTTCTGCTTTGCATGACTTATAAGACCCACTCAGAGAGCCGAGCGTGAGCAGCTGCGTCATCGTTTCTAAATTCCTCCGTTTTTGCCCGTCTTCACTAAAACGCTCTCTTGAGTTTCAGAAAAAACGGGGTCGGTAGCGGTTTTCAAACTTCTCCGTTTTAGGTCTTTGTTTTCACTGTTTTAGTCTGGATGGGAGGTGCAAACGTAGCAAATCGCAGTAGCGTGGATGGGGCATAAGAGATCAAAGTGTCTCCGCACCTCCACCTCACCTTTTAAATGTAAATGTCTCTTTCCTTAAGTGGTCTTTTATTGGTTTACAGTTTGGAATCCTTCCAATGACTTATGGCCCACTTCAACATTCAGTTTTAAATACCAGGGGAGTAATAGTACATGTATTCATCCCAAACAGTTCTGTTTGGTATTCGACTTTCTTTAGTTTGGGTTTGTCCTGTGAACCAAATAATTAACAATAATTCAACTTTGAATTCTGACATCAAAATTCCTCCCGTAAAACTTTGGTAGCAGGACAGCTGTCTGTGACGCATAGCCTGAGGTGCCTGAATACCTTTAGATCTTTCGCGCACGCTAATGTTCGTTCAGTCATTACATTTGTCCCTGAGGTGTTTCCTGCTCATACATACAAAACTGTGGATTTTGTGCGCCGTACAAAATGCATCACAATAAAGCAGTAAAGAGGTTGTTTCATCGGGTCTTCAGGTGGAGGTCCAAATTCAGGTCAAGGTCGACCAACTGCTGGTGCAGATGTGGTTCCACTGCAGCTACAATAACACCTGCTGATCAGAATGCTGGTTCAGTTTCAGGTACAGGTTTGTGTGTAAACGTACTTTTTGGCAGGGACGGTCTTGGTGAGGTTCCACAGTTTGAGGGTGTGGTCCTCAGACACGGTGACCAGACACGGCTCGACAGGGTGGAAGGCCAGCGCTCGGACGCCGTCGAAGTGGCTCCGCAGTGTGTATTTCGGGTTCCACGTCTTCCTGAACGAAGACTCCTTATTGGACGGCAGCTGAGATACACAGATGATCGATTGTGTGATTAAATGTATCAATGAACGTCTGTATACTAAACAGCTGTGTTTTGTTTGCGTCTTACGTCGTAGCTGTAGTCTGATTCGTCGTTGGTGACTGTGAGGTCAGCGAGGTCGCCCAAACCCAGGACGCTCTCCAACACGTCGTCCGACCCCCCCAACAGGAAGGACTTCCCACCTCCGGGAGGAAACGGTAGAGGCTCCGCTATTGAGAGAGAAGTGAACTTAAATTTAACACATTTCTCCTTTCAGTTAAAGCTAAAGCCAAGAGAAATCGCCGATTTGCTGATTAGACGATAGAGATAAAAGATCAACTAACTATTTTGATATTTAATTCATTTGAGAAAGCAAAATAAAAACATCGTCTGTTTCCAGCCTCTTAATTGCGAGGATTCTTTGCTTTTAATTTGATAGTAAATGAAATATTTTTAGCTCTTCTGTCAAAAGACATTGGCTGAGATATATAAAGCGTAAAGAGACGCTTTTGTTTTTTCCATTTCTGAGTGAGTTGTTTTCAACCGAACTTAACAACTCACCCCACTCGGTCCCGTCTCCGGAGCTCCGAGCCTCGCCTGCTCCCTCTCCGTCCTCCGCCGTCACCAGGAAATCAAACTCCTTCAGAGCCTCCTCAGTGTCGGCGTCGTCCTCCGACGCCAAGCCCTCGTTCCCCACCTGGAGGAGGAGATGACAAACCATCAAGGAAAGGAGACAAGAGATGGAAGGAAAGAAGAATAAAAGGATGAAAGGAGGAAGGAGGGGTGGTGTAGAAGGATAACAGAAAAAGCAGTGGGGAGGAATGAAGAAAAGATGTGTGTGACAGACAACCAAAAAGACAGAGTGAAGGAAGGAAGGAAGAAAGGAAAGGACAGGAAAATGGAAAGGCACAACCGAGGAAATAAAGTAGAGATATTCAACAGGAGGGCCAGACCAAAGGAAGAAGCAGAATAAAAGAGGAGAAACATCAAATGCATATGCTAAATAGAGAAAATGTCTATGTACTGATGTCTGTCTTTGATGCTGAATGTCTGTTCTTGTGTTTATATCTGCTGTACTCAGGTCTCTCTTGATAAATTGATGCTGGTCACACCAAATTTTAAATTTGACTTTTCTTCTGCCACTCACTTTGTATTTTCTTAATAGATAAATATAATCTATTAACATGTAAATTTTTGGAAACATTACTTCATGCTGTTTTCTTTTGTCACGTGTTGCCATCTGTGCATTTAAAACTGGATCACCTGTGTGTGTGTGTGTGTGTGTGTGTGTGTGTGTGTGTGTGTGTGTGTGTGTGTGTGTGTGTGTGTGTGTGTGTGTGTGTGTACCTTTGTCTTGTGTTTCTTGGCTCGGTGGTGTTTGTCAGCGCTGATGTCGTCCATCAGGTCTCCCTCCTCTTCCTCTTCTTCATCGCTGTCCTCTGCATTCTCCAGGAAGTTAAAAGTCTCCAGAACATCACCTGGACTCCTGGACACACACACAAAAGGTATAACCACTCTGAGTGTGTGTGTGTGTTTCATGTTTTTATATTCCTTAACCTGAATGGGTCCCCACGGGTAGAAACTGCTTTTTGAAGGTTTAGTCTTGGTTTTAGGGTTCAGGTTACATTTAGATTAAGGTTAGGAGCTTGGTAAGGGTTAAGGTTAGGCATGCAGTTGTGATGGTGAAGGTTAGGGTCTAGGGCAGTGGTCGGCAATAGACAGACTGCGGACAGGAGTCCTGTGCACTACCAACTGAGCTAATTGCACAAACGGTAAACGGTCAAGTGACAATGTTCTGGCCCGTCATCTAATTACCCGATGCCAGACTTATTTGCCGACCCCTGGTCTAGGGAATGCATTATGCCAATAAGATACAGATGTGTGTTTTTGTACCTCTTGCTGTCCTTGCGGCGCTCCGTCCCGTTGATCAGGTGCTGCAGGTTCTTGTTCTCCACAGATCCGTTCTGCTCAGAGCCTGACAGGCCAAGCAGAGAGCGAACCCTCTGAGTACGAACGTCCAGGATGGTGTCTGTGTATCCTACTTCCTGCAGGTACCTGGACACACATACAAACATAGTTTTATATCATAGTCAACTGCATATCCATCTTATCTGGAGCATCCACTGTGATTGTTGTCCTTCAGATTCTGTGAGGACAAACTAACGGTTTTCTGAACGTGTACAAAAGATCTTAAATTGAGATTTAGCATTCTCTAAATCCAGGTGATACCTGCTAGCAGCAGAACCCCTGTGATTGCTCTTACTGTCTGAGTAGTTGTCTTCCTTGTTTCCAGGTGAGCTGACTGTTGGCAGGAACAGCAGAGACCTCTGAGTCTTTGGTGTCTAAAGGACAAACACACACAGAACACACAATGAGGAAATGCTGAGAGATACAGCACCAGCTGCTGGGCACCTTCACACCTTCAGATTTTTGTTTGACGTGAATTCCCTTCTAACCCAACTGACGAAGTGTGAAGTCTCCGTTCTGTGTTAAAATGTTCCTCACTGTAAAATCCCACTGTGAAAAAAAACAGTAACTTCAAATTGTATAAACCTTCTAGAGAAAATTCATTACAGTTTGTAGAAGCCTAAAAAGAAGACCGGTGCGTAAGACCGCTTCAGAGTAGACCCTGATCAGCACGAATGCTGTGTGATCAATAAAGTGCATCTTTATTTCAGACACTGGGGAGAAAAGAAGAGGAGGAGATGGTGAAAACAGGATGTAAAGCTAAGGAGGAGAGATTTAGGAAGAGAAGAAATATGAGAGTTTAATTCTGATATGAAAAGCTTCACAGAGTCAGGCTACATCCACACTACTACATTTTCATTTTAAAATACAGAACATTTGCTCCTTCCGTCCAGACTAAAACTGTGAATCCGAAGATGTAAATCGGAGAAATTTTAAAACTCCAGCGAAAAAGGAGGACTTTAAAAACAATGACGCAGATGCTCATGTTTGGCTTTCTGACTGGCTCTTATCAGTAATGCAAAGCAGAAAGACAATGCTACTGACCGTTTTTTTAAATTAAAATATTGTGTACTGTGCAAATAACATTTATTCACTTGTACTGCGCATGTTGCTGTATTTACTTTGCTCCCAGTCTGTTTTCCGACACCACAGCTGTTTTGTACTCCAATGTTTCTTTCAGAAAAAGTTCCACCTCGTTGTCGGTCCATGCAAAAAAAATAAAAAATAAAATAAATCTGGTGTGGTTCTCCATCTGTAGTAGCACTTTCTTCTTTTGACAAATCTTCTGCAACGGTGGAGTAGGCAATCTGCTTCCCGTTTACACCAGCACACACATGCCCAGTGTACGTGAACGGCCACTAGATGTACATTTTCAGTTGTTTTAAAGGTTCAGTGTCTAATATTTCTGAGGCTCTATTGACAGAAATGCAATATAAGATCCATAACTATGTTTTCAGTGGTGTATAAAGACCTCACATAATGAACCATTATGTTTTTATTACCTTAGAATGAGACATTTATATCTACATAACCCCTTGCTGTGGAGGTCGCTGTATTTTGTAGTCATGTTTCTACCGTAGCTGTCAACAAACAAACAGCGCTACAGAGCACGTTTTGTCATCACGGCGTTCTACTTCTGCTTATGTAATTCCGGTAGTGTAGACGACCGTCACTACATAGAATACGTACAAAGAAGAAGAAGAGGGACTAATAATAATTAGTAATACACAGTCTCGGAGTAGTCTTCTGGTTTATTAGAAGTAAGTGACATTTGGACAACTGAAGGAGCACACACACGTGTTATTTAGCAGGATTTTGTGGATTTTCCCAGATGGAAGGCTATATTGTGGGACAGATGTCGTGAAAGCGGTGCTGAAGTTGTCTGTTTTCTGCTGGACAGGTAAATAACTTAAGTTTGTCATACTTTAGCGATGCAAATGCAAACTGTTGTTTGAGAGCTTTAGCTAGAAGCTGGCTGTCAGTGGTGTGAAATATGGATTAATTTCATGGCACCTAACAGTTACTTATTCTCCAGCCTGTGGTTTGGCTTGGCCGGTTACTTAGCGAGACAATCAGCTGATCAGTAATGTTAACTGGCAATAAAACCGTAACGTTAGCTTAGAGCATGGAAGCATCAGCCAGCTAAACTTTTACTGACTGGTAGAAAAAAATTGTATTATTAGTTGGATTGGTTTATTCTCCAGCGCTGTGCTTTGGCTTGTGGCGTTATGTTAGATGGATTAATTTCATGTAGTTTCTCTCTCTCTCTGGCTTTGTATGTTATCTTTGGGAGAATCATCTGATCGCTAATTGGCAATAAAACAGCAGCTTCCAGCATCGAAGCTCAGATCAGCCAGCTAAACTTTTACTGAGCTGATAGAAAAAATATGTAGTTGGATTGTAATTTCATGTAGTTATTCTCCAGCGCTCAATTATGGCTTGGTTACGAGGACAGAAATGTGCTGTTACCTTCCTGAGATAAACAGATCACGAATATTATGTTATTGGATATTGCTTCCCACTGCGCACACAAATATGTAATTTGTACTTTCACATGCTAAATGCCCATTAAAACTTTACACCGTTTTACCACAAGCTGAAATTATGGCAGTTTTTCTGTTTAAAAAATTTAAATAAACATTTTGGTAATATTTGCAGATTGCTTATCTAATTAAGCAAAGCCAGAGGAGCCTTGATCCTCACCAGCCAATGCCTTTGTAAACTTCATGTATTATGTGGTTTATAATGGACTGTGGTGCAGAAAACGTGAGGCTTACATTGTCCTGGTATCTGTCAGTGGTCATACTTGATGCACTAGATGTGATCGTTTTTGAGAATTTCTTCATTTTCATTTTCTTATATGTTAGTCCAGATGAGCCAACCCTCCCAAGATGTAAAATAATGTATTACAGGAGTGTGCGACATCATGCAGCACTTCATTTCTTCATGTGACTGTTGTTTATTAATGAAAAATTAACAATAATATTCAAAAAAACATTTGGTTTTACATAATTTATATAATTTCTTAATCTATCTAAAAGAAACCTAATTTCTTGACTAGCAATCTCTTTTAGCTCATATATGACATCTTTGTCCTGTCTCAGGCACCGTAGCTATACTGCTCGCTTGGGTAGGGGAGGGGGGGTGAATTCGCAACCCTCACCACTAGATGTCACTAGAACTTACACACTGAACCTTTAATATAAACAGAACAGATACACAGCTTAAAACGCTGGTGTGGATGGAGATCGTTTTTTCGTTTTAAAACAAAAACGTAATAGTACAGATGTAACCTCAGACTGCAGGTTAACACAGGAACCTGCAGGAACCTGCAGGAACCTGGTCTGGGACAGACAGCAATGTTGTTCTTCCATCACATACCTGATTCAAAGCTTGGCATCTTCATCTCCCCTTGGTTTAACTCTGTTCCGTATTTTAACTTGTGATATTTTGCTCTGAGGAAGAAACAAAAGAAGAGATGTTTGATCAACACGAAAATGAAAGAAAAAAAAAAAAAATCAGTGAAACAACTACTTTATTTATTCATTCAGGCAGTTTCAGCTTTTTCTTACACATATTTTAAAATTTTTAATAGGTAATTAACATTATTACTGATGCTTTTTCACCTTGAATAAGAAATGCAATACTGTGATTTTAATATGTTGGTCTATTCTCTACACACATCTACTTCCTGTCTGTCCATATGGGAGAGGCATCTCTCCTCTGCTGCTCTTCCAGAACTTTCTAACATTTCTTTTCACAGCTAAAAGGTTTTATCCTGATCTGATTCGAGGCTCTGAGGACAGAGGGCGTCGTCTGCTGTACAGACTGTAAAGCCCCTAAAGGCAATTTGTGATTTGTGATATTGGGCTGTAAAAATAAAATTCACTTTATTTTTAAATGATAAAATAAGGTTCTTCAAAATCAGAAATGCATCACAGATGTTTCACACTTCTCTTCAAGTTTTATGGGTTTCCTGTTCATGAGTGGAACGTGTTCACATACTACACATCCTGTATGCATCTCATTACTGCTGACCATTTCCCTCGTGATAAAATTCACGTCATCCTTTATGCCCATGTTTGCTTCTTGTTTGTGCTCCAGGTTACATTATTTAATAACACTGCTCACAAACACTATTATTTCTCCATTAATCAACTCATTAAAAAGAAGAATATTTAAGTGGATCGCAATTTTGATAACTACTTAATTGCTGTTGTGAAAAAAGGGGGAAGATTTGCTAATTACAACTTCAGAAATGTAAAAATGAAAACCATGATCTAACACGTCATTATCAAATTAATACCTGGGGGAATTTTAGACTAAATGTGTAGTTAATTAAAAACAGATTAACAGATGGTGAATGTTTGCAGACTTAATGCACACCTCCAGGTTTTCCCATCAGCAGCTAAACGCACCACAACTGAACTGATATAAGTGTTTGTTCCCAACTGCATTTCTAATCCATGACAACATAACTTTACACATTAAGTTCCTTTAATCTTGTTTATCTGAGTAATGTAATGACTCCTGAGAACAAAAAGAATCAGCATCAGTTTTAAAAACCTGTTTCTTACCTTTCTTGTTTTAAAGCGTATTCTAACATTTTTATTCTTCTAACCAGGTCGTTCTTCAGGTTCTCCTGACCTTTCCTTTCCCCCTGGAGGAACGCTATCCTCGCCTGGACACAGAGACAGAGAGAGATGGTTCAGCCATGTTGTCATCCACCACACTGAATATGATGATTAGGGGATTTATTTCTGCTCAGTTATAAATCTAACCCACTGAATTTGCATCAAAATTCAAGTCGTGACTCAGTTAAATTCAGAACACGCAGACGTCGCAGACTTTTCTAGTCCACTGCAGATAAATATCAATACATCGTAGTAAAAATCCTCACAGCCTTCATATAAACAGTGACCCAGGATAGTCGTCTGTGTGCACAGTTAAAGTGCAGACAGGCTATCACTTTGTTTTGGTTGCATATTCACCAACATGTAAATACAGGCAAATTACATGAAAATAAAATACATTATTTGCAGAACATGTAAAGTGGCACTGATATTTGTTACGCTTTAAATTACAGTATATAACAGCTGGCTCAGACATGTAGTGATCACACCAAAAGTCAGCAAATAAAGACTTCTGTTAAAGCTGAGTGGGAGTTTGTTAATGAGTGACTGTACAGTAGATGATAAGACGTTAACATGAATCCCTCCCACACCTGACTCGGCCTTCCTCTCATGTTCTTGTATAAACATTTTTCACAAGCGTCTGGATTTGGCAACTTTAAAATCAAGAAAAGAAAATCAGCCAGCGAGAATTAGGGTATTTCACTGATGCTTCTTAATCCAGCCTCAAGGATGAAGTGCCATTCAACTGTGAATTAGGATTTAAAATCCATCACCTCTTCCTGTGTGAGATTTCAGAGGAGCTGAGAAGAAAACCAAATTTATCCTTAAGATCTCAGGAATAGACCTTCACCATAAGAACAGATGGGAGTAAAAATAATTATATAACAATTAACATTGTAAAGTGAAAACCGTTGGCGCTTCTGACTGATGAACAGGCTAATTAAATACTGCTATATTATTCATCTATAAAGTTTCTTCATCAGTCTTCTCATATTCAAAGATTTAAAAAACTAGGGGGGGGGGGGTGCACTGAAGTGAGACACTGTATTCAATTCTAGCAGAAACAGAAACCAGTGAAGTTAATGGAGAATGGGTGTGATGTGGTCGTACTTTCGCACTCTCATCAGGATCCTTGCAGCACTGTTCTGAACATACTGCAGTTTCTGCAGACTCTTGTTAGGGATCCCGATGAGAAGCGCGTTACAGTAATCCAGTCTGGAGGAGACAAACGCGTGGACCAGTTTTTCAGCATCAGCTAAGGTGAGTGTAGAACGGAGTTTTGCAATATTTCTGAGATAATACAAGGAGATCTTGCAGAGGTTTTTAATATGGGCTTCAGAGGTGAGTTGTGGATCAAATCTTACACCAAGATTGGTGACTGTTGTTGAGAGGGGAATGGGACTATGTGAATATGACCACATTACTCCTATTTTAGCTTCATTACACTGGCTCCCAGTATGTTTTAGAATTAGACTTAGAAAATTCTATTGATCACTTTTAAAGCTCTTCATGGCCTCTCGCCTCGTTATATTTCTGACCTTTTAGTCCCATACGCACCAGCACGTACCTTGAGATCCTCGGGCAGAGGTCTGCTGTCTGTTCCAGAGTCTCGACTGAAAACTAAAGGGGACAGAGCGTTTTCTGTCAGGGCCCCGAGGCTCTGGAACAGCCTGCCCGAGGAAATCAGGTCGGCTGAGTCAGTGAACTCTTTTAAGTCCCTTCTTAAAACATACTTTTATAGGAGAGCTTTTCCCGATCTTATTTGACTTTATTTTATCCCTTTTATTTTATTTTATTCTATTTTACTTATTTTATATTTTATCTGTATTTTAGTCTTTTCAATGTTTTCTTGCTTTTATCTTGTATTGTTTTTGTATTATTGTCTTTTTGGGTATTATTGTCTTTACACTTGTTAAAGCACTTTGTAACTTGTTTTTGAAAAGTGCTCTAAAAATAAAGATTCTTCTTCTTCTTCTAATAATGTCTTGACCACAGATAGTTATACCGGTTATGGAGGACAACCGGACTTGATGTGATGTGCCAACAAGAACTGCCTCAGTTTTGGAGCCGTTCAACTGGTGGAAGTTGCGTTTCATCCACACCTTTATCGCCTCCAGACAGGTGGTGAGTGTTGAAGACGACGATGATGATGTTGGTGAAGCCAACCAGTTCTAAACCAGTTCAGAGCAGTGTCAGTGAGTCAAGTGCTTTGGTGTAGCCGGTTGAGAAGTATGCCATGATCCACGGTGTCAAAAGCAGCAGACAGATCGAGGAGTATGAGGAAGGAAGGTGAGCCAGGATCAGCTGTCAGTCGTAGGTCGTTTATGACTCTAACCAGGGCTGTTTCTGTGCGGAAACCAGATTGTTATGTTTGAGATGGTCCTGGAGATGGGGAAAACAACTTTTTCCAGCACTTTGGAGAGGAATGGGAGATTGGAAATGGGCCTGTAATTTGTAAGTGCATCTGGATCAAGGTTGGGTTTTTTCAGAAGTGGTCTGATTATGGCAGTTTTAAGGGCAGATGGAGCATTTCCAGACTGGAGGGAGTGGTTTATTACAGTGGTAATCAGAGGGCTTAGGGAAGGGGTGTTTGCTTTGACTAGAGCTGTAGGAAAGGGGTCGAGGGCACAGGTGGTGGGTTTCATCCTTTTGATGATCTTCTCAACCTCTTGCTGGGAGATTTCTGGAAAGCAGTGTGGGGGCTGGGAGATTGCAAGCTGTGAGTGGACAGTTGGGGTGGGTAGTGTTGAGCATCCAGTAAAGGAGGAGTGGACGGAGTCTATTTTTGTTTTGAAAAAGGCCAGGAAATTATTACAGTGCTCTTCTGTAGTTTCTGTGAGTGAGGGGGTTTGTGGTTTGAGAAGATGATTTATGGTGGAGAACAGCGGGTTGGAGTTTCCGGGACTGTTTCTGATGATGTTTGAGTAGAACTGTGACAGCGCCTCTGTAAGTGACTTTGAGTAGTCCTTTTGGTGTTTGTGCACAGTGAGACCTGTGGCTTTGTATCTCCGCTCGATGGCACGCCCAGATGCCACCTTAAGACAATTACAAAGTCAGCATACCATCACCTCAAGAATATATCACAGATTAAAGGACTTATGTCTCAGCAGGACCTGGAAAAGCTTATCCATGCATTTATCTTCAGTCGACTCGACTACTGTAACAGTGTCCTTACAGGGCTCCCTAAGAAATCCATCAGACAGCTGCAGCTGATTAAGAACGCTGCTGCTCGAGTCCTCACTAAGACCAAAAAGTGGATCACATCACTCCAGTTCTGAGGTCTTTACATTGGCTTCCTGTATGTCAAAGAATTGGTTTCAAAATCCTGCTGTTAGTTTATAAAGCACTAAATGGTTTAGGGCCAAAATACATTTCTGATCTTCTGCTTCGTTACGAACCATCCAGACCTCTCAGGTCGTCTGGGACCAGGTCTGCTTTCTGTCCCCAGAGTCAAAACTAAACAAGGAGAAGCAGCGTTCAGTTATTATGCTCCGTATATCTGGAACAAACTCCCAGATAACTGCAGGTCTGCTGAAACTGTCAGTTCTTTTAAATGAATAATAATAATAATAATAATAATCTTTATTTGTAGAGCACTTTTCAAAACAAGTAACAAAGTGCTTTAACAAGTGTAAAGACAATAATACAAAAACACAAGATAAAAGCTTGAAAACATTGAAAAGACTAAAATACACCTTTAAGATAAATATAAAATTAGTAAAATAGAATAAAATAAAAAGGGATAAAATAAATAAGACTGGGAAAGGCTCTCCTATAAAAGTATGTTTTCAGAAGGGACTTAAAAGTGGCTAAATTAAGACTGAAGACTTTTCTTTTTACCATTACTTTTAATTAAATATTTACACGGTGGGAAATGAGTAGGTAATTGAGTGAAAAGATAACGAGAGTGAGATTGAACAGAGTGAAGGAAGTGGTCTTAAATCTTGCGCCCGAGTGATTTGCAGGAACCTCTGTCCACCTGTAAACGCACAGGTGGGTCCAGAGTATAACTGGATCAAAGTGGCCTGCGGACAGACATGTCCTGGTTTCTCTGTAGTATAGAGAGAGTGTAGAGGGATTTTGGAGTTTCAGTGGACCCAGGGATTGCTATGGACCAGAGTACGGACTAGCTAGAGAGAGTAGATTCAGTGTACTTCTCGTTTGCGCTTGATGAGGTAGAACGGTGAAGACATCTTCATGGAAATGGCCTTGTGGTCCGAAACACCTAGATCATCCACCAGAAGACTGCTGAGAAGAGCAGAGTTTGTAATGACCAGGTCGAGTGTGCGTCCCCTGGTGTGAGTGGGGACATCGACAAGTTGTGACAGATTAAAACAGTCGATGAGTTTCTGTAGGTAGCAGTAGCCAGGAGGACAGGTCTCATTTAAGACATCTGGCTGGTGCCAGGTTTCTGTAAGGCACATCAAATCCAAACACTTATCCAGAATATGGTCATGTATGAGGCAAGATTGTTTTGTGATGGATTGTGTATTAAACAGTTCAATCTTGATGGCAGATGGAGCAGTGGGTCTCTGTATTGGCCGGAGTAGACTGAAATCCACTCCACGTTTTCCATCCCGGTCAGTGCGTAGTGTTGCCGTGGAAACTCCAGCGTTACTAGTCCTAGGAGCGGCAGCGCCCTGATGATGTGTTGGAGATGCGACGGGGCGTTCGCCACACCAGAGGGATAGGATGTTGTGATCAGACCAGGAGAAAACAAACTTTCGGCCCCACCTTTTGTGAATGTAACGGGGCCGACGAAGGAGTCCAAGTGGTTTAATGACCGAAATGCACGATGGAGTGGTTGTTGAATTTCTTCAATTGGGTGACAGAATACTTCAACGTCATGCCAGTCGTGGAGAGTGGTCTGTTAGCCGTTAGCAATGACCGTGATGCACAGAAGAGAGCCATCAGGTTCATCACTCCGAGCAATGGTAAACTGGTAAGTAGACATCCACTGGAGTCGGCAGAATCCGTACAGAACACATACAATCCACAATGTTTATAAGTGAGCAACGACATTAGTATAACTAGTACTCGTCGATAA